TAACCGTTTTATTATACCGATACACAGTGGAGAGATAGTTTTATTTATTACACCTCTACTTTATTTACTCTATACAAAAGTAATTGGTTAAATCGAATATGCATAGACATTTGACTAATGCACGGAATTTTATTTGACAAAGAATACAATTGCGTAGGGGAGATAACACTTACGTTCACCTGACGGATGTAAGGAAAATGTTTCATCAAAACATAATTAATTTAAAATTCTAAAGAATTGTCAGGTTATTTACTAAAATAGAGCTTTGATTTCTTAAACTTAATAATATATTTGAATCCTTTCAATTGGTTAATGCACGGAATTTTATTTGACGCAAAGCACGAGATATGCAAATGAGTCTACACCAAGGTGTCCGATTTCCAAAATATCTTTATAGGAATGTGTGTTAGAGGCAAAACGGTGGGCTAAAACAAGTGGCAGAACGAAACATTTTAAACCCCACTATGTCCAAATCCCACGTCATATTCAAATCAGTAATTACAATATATTTAAATTAGATTTTACCACTTTTTTCACAACGTCAGGAATATAAGTTCGAGTAAACAATTCATACATTAAGGGTTTTCATACGCCCCACCTTCCCTTCTGGTCAACAGTTTGTTAGATCTCCATGGATTTCCAACATTTAACTCCTGACATCGCTGATGAGTCCTAGAAGGACAAAACAGCTGTATGAAGCAGTGTATTTCCTGTTTGGCACACTTTATCGATTACTTAATTTTAAAGACGCAGAATGTGTTGGAAAATATGTTTTAGGGGGATAGAGGGAGGGTCTTGTTCTTCAAACAAGTTATATGTAGGAACGAACAAAAGAACAGGGCCGGGGAAATCTTCTAAAGCACGTGATTGTATCGCTATCAGTAAATATACATAGAGTAGAGTCAACTACCATGTGAACTATCGTCTATGAAAGTACGACAAATGACCAGTGAAGTGTATGTACACAAAGGGGTAAAATGTGTACGAGTTGTCCACCAAGTCAAGTCGATTCTGCTTATGTACAATAGTTGTTATAAAGTGACACTGTAGGGGATATGAACAAACACATGAACCGTTCAGGTGAACGAGCGTTCGCCACAACTAGACAACGCCACTAGACTAGATTAAACTGTCCTGTAGAAAAATCAACACAACACAACACCAACACGAATGCAGCCCTTAATGATTCTATACTAAAACAATGGATAGTCAACATCTCTAATAAGGAGCTTACCAGTAGCGAGAAAGGGTATGCGCTATGTAACCGACGATTATGAGGCCAAGGTCATTACAATGCTACAGGACAACAAGGCATATGAACAGCTGCAGACTGATCCAACTCAAAAGTTTAAAAGGCGTCTCATAACCCTCCTGTCAAAATTAAAACAAGAGAGCAAGATTACCGAAAGCCAATACAGATATCTGTATCCCACAGCAGAGAACATTCCTAGAATGTACTGTTCACCCAAGTTCCACAAGCAGGGAAACCCACTGATACCTATTGTGGACTACACTGGATCCATTGGTTACAATGTTTCCAGATCATTAGCAGACATTCTTGGACCGCCAGTGGGTAAATTGGAACACCATGCAAAGAATTCAAAACATCTCGCGGAAGCTATGTCTACCATCATGATTCAGGAAGACGAAGAATTCATTTCACATGATGTTGTCTCTCTCTTTACCAACACACCGATTGACGATGCACAATCATTCGGAAAAGCTTAGATTTTGACAGATCCTGGCGCAAAAACAAAAACCTCCAGATTCAGGACATCATGGATTTTGTTTTTTCCGAAACAACATCTATGAACAACGCTTCGGCACTGCTATGGGTAGACCAGTGTCTCCCATTGTGGCCAATTTGTTCATGGAACATCTGGAGTAAGGCGCAATAGCCACTGCCCCCATAGAATGCAAGCCTAGCTTAGGGAAACGTTATGTTGACGACATACTTGAGATAATCAAGAGGGGTCACAGAAGGATTTCACCACACATATCAACAACATAGATGCAACTAACAACATCAAATGTACATGTGAGAAAGAAACAAACGGCACAATGCCCTTCCTATATACTCTACTGGTAAAGAAAGAAGAAGGAACCGTGAAGGTATTGGTCTATAGAAAAAAGACCCATACGGACCAATACCTGAACTTCAAATTTCACCATCCTTTGCATCAGCATTTAGGCGTCGTACGCACATTGCTCAACAGATATGATACAATAGTCACAGAACAACAGGACAAAACACAAGAGCAGAATCCCATCGCTAGGGCAATGAGAACATGTGCATATCCGGAATGGGCCCTAAAACGGGTACAAAAACAGTGCCAAAGTAAGGAGAAGAACAAGAAAAGGCCAATCAAGGATAAGAACAAAACCAAAGTTCAAGTCGTCATCCCGTACATAAAGGGTATATCCGAAACCATCAAGAGGATATATCGCGGTCATGGCATAGCAACAGCCATGAAGCCCCGCAAGACGCTTCCCAATATCCTAGTTCACCCTAAGGATAAAACACCTAAAGAAAACGTCGCAAAAACTGCGACGCATAGTATATTTTGGATCCGCCTTGGTGAACAACGAAAAGATACGGACACCGAAGAAGGTAGGAAATTCACCAGATCAGAAAGGAAGTAGTCTGAGTCCCAGATAAATAATTCGCCGATCACAGACCATGCCACACAGAAAAATCATGTGATTGACTGGGATAACTCCAAAGTTTTGGACAGAGAGAGCAATCTGTTCAAGCGGCAGATAAAGGAAGCCATCTGGATACGCCGCAGTGGGCCAGTTCTAAATCGAGATGAGGGGGTTCAAAGACTCTCGCACAAGTATTAAACAAAGCGTAGCCGAATAGAGTCATTTCGGCACATATATATACTACTCACATTTTGCTAAGGATCACCTATATTTTGAGAGAAAAAAATCAAAATGTTAGAAAGGATATTTTATTTTCCTTCCGTACTGTTTTGGGCTAATATGTTAGCCTTCTAAATCGTCCTGTGTGGGTATGTTCAGTCAACCATAAAAGCGCGTGCACGCTTTTCCACGTGTACACCCCTTTCAAAAGCTAAGCTAGGCTCATTAAGGCGTTGTTCAAATTGTTAAGGAAATCAATTTGATGAATATTTTTTGCGTGTTTTTGTTTTAATATGGCACAAAGACGAACCAGACAACGATTAAAAGACGGTGAAATGAATAGGGGCATCGGAATGCTGCAGGCTAGCATGTCTCAATGTCAGGTTGTAGCAGACCTTGGGGTGTCTCAAAGTGTGGTGGCAAGAATGTGGAATCGTTTCCTCATGCTGGAGGTCGTTATACAACGCAGCGTCAAGACCGATTTTCCTCCAATGAAATTCTTGATGCCTATGTCAGACCCTTCGCTGGCGCTATCGGCCCTGATTTCATCCTTATGGACGATAGTGATAGGCCACATAGAGCAAGGGTGACTGAGCAGTATCTATAGCAATAGACTATTCAACGAATGGATTGGCCAGCCCGCTCGCTGGATCTAAATCCCATCGAGCATGTGTGGGACATGATGCAGACAGCTCTCTCTGTCAGAAAGGTTCAGCCAGGAATGCTCCAGCAGCTGGGAACAGCTCTGGTAGCTGAGTGGAACGCTATCCCACAAAACCGAATACGCGATCCCATTCGGGGCATGCGCAGACGTTGTAAAGCTGTAATTGATGCTCATTGGCGTCACACTTGATACTAAAACAATTTCTGTTTATTTGGAATGAGTTTTGTTCAATTTAAGTTTTTTAGTGAATACCTCGTTGTTACCAATTTTAAGGGTAACCCTTTTCCTGTGGCTCATTTTCCGACTGTAATTACGATTTTTGGACTTTTTGCATGCTGATGAATTAAAACAACGATCAATTTTTCAAAAATAATCTCAGTATAAACCAAATAAAATATTTATTTTCACATATGCCCAAACATAAAAGTGATCCTTAGTAAAATGTGACTAGTATATATAACAACTATTGTACATACGCTTACAGCGTAGCCGAATCGACTTGATTTGGTGGACAACTCGTACACATTTTACACCTTTGTGTGCATACGCTTCACTGGTCATTTGTCTGACAGTGTACATATCGTACTAGTCATCGAAACGTCGCATAGAAAATCTTATTGGTTGTGTAAAAAACCCTTCTCATAATAAAAGGAAATTATCTGAGTCATTGCAGCTACCAATGAGACAGTTAAAAGACACCAATCGCCACAAAAACATCCAGAATAGAACCGAGGTATTCCAAAAGTCACTAGTTGGATTATTCTATTGCTACTTTCTGCGTGCTGTCTATGTATAAGTCTAAGTCATATTTTCGTACAGCCGAAAGGTGTAAATATATATTCATTTCCTGCAGCAGTTAAGTGAACATATCTTAGACAAGGTACAATGACCAAGTATATGTCCATAGCGTCAGCACACAAGTACAAAGTCCAAACTAAACGTCCATAGGAAAATACGTCAACAGGAACTGAGGAGCCACCAACACTTAACGAAAGACAACATAAACTCAACAAAAATAAGGTCAAGTTAGGTGCTCGAGTTAAGAAAATAAATTGAATTTCAATATCTTTAATGTACAAGTTTAAAATTCTGTGTTAAATTGTCGCAAAGCCAACCATACTGGACCCAGGTCGTTTTCTTGTTCATTTTAATGGTTTTCTTGCTAAGTTATATTTTTGTAAATACAGTGTATCTTGTCCCAGTTTTATTGATTCTTAATTCAACTATGGCATTCTCATCTATTTTTTCATCGAATTTTCCAGGTTCTTTATTTTTGTAACTCAATAATTAAAATAGCCATGTGATGTATTGTGATGTAATTGTCCATATATGTACATTGTATATAATCATGAGTTTGATAGGGCAATATTGGAAATTAGATGACAGGAAAACCTCCCATACATTTGTACAAAGTAACACCCTCAAGTAAAACAGAATTAGAATAAAAATCAACAACAAATTGTAATGTAAATGTCACAAATTTATTCATTAGGCATAATAAGTTAAATATGAAATAAATAGACAAAAACATTTTACAGTGCTTTAAAGAAACACAGCATAGAAATTAACATCAAAGTACATGTACCCTTAATGTCATTTTTTGGTTTTTCCTCTCGGGAGGAAAAAAGCCACACTCATCAATTTGATGAAACAATAATTCACCAGCCTTTTGATCATGGTGATAATTATGCAAATATTTTGTAATTTTCATACAAGTTACTGGAGTTAGAACGGGATTATCGACACACCCATCATTGCACCAGTAAAATATACAGTTTAAAGCAAAATCATTTACTTTTGTCGTTTAAATAAGTCCTGTGAAAATTGGTAAAGGTATCTTATGTACATATTTAACAGTTTTTGATGAAAAATACTTTTAAGATTCATTATTCTATATTCAGAAGTGAATTCCAACATTCCTATAAGTGCCCTGTGCGACACCATTTTTTTGAAGTGTGCATGTCATGTGTTCCTTTGATTTCCATGTCATGATAAACATGCTAGACACTGATAATTAAATGTCATCTATGAAGAATAAAAAAATGAGAAAAAAACAAGAAATTGATAGCTGGGGAGAATGGAGACACAGAGACTTTTTTCCATAACAAAACAGCATTATTTCAGAATTAGAAGGTGTAAAACATAAAACACAACATTGGTATATGTACTTACCACAATAATGGGTAATTCTATCTCGCATCTAACAGATTGTAACATTCCTTGGTTTCATTTCAACATATATGTTGCAATGATGTCAAATGAGTAAGGCGACTTAAAAACTAAAATTAACATTGAAGTACTACAATTAATCATAAACTAAGCTTCCCTTTACTCCCTTCCAGCGTTCCTTCAGTTCCACATGGCACCCTAGATCCCGAAGGGCAGCTTTGGCATCATCCTCACAAATTGGGTGGTTTTTAAGGGCTTCGTTAATCAGGGCCTCAGCTCCTAATTCCAAAATAGGTTCACAGTGTTCCCTTGTTCTGGCCACAAGATTCCTCAGCACATTGCAAGCTTGTTTCTGAAACATTTATAGAAGTCTGTATCAAATGCACGTCATTCTACTCGATACTTAACTTTGGTTTTGTCTGATATTATAATAATACAATGTTTATTTGTTTGTTTGGGTTAAAACGTCCTCGCAACAGCCAGGGTCATTTGAGGACAGGTGCCTAGGGAGACAACGCCTGAAACAGAAAGTAGATAGAAAAGGAAGACAGGAAAAATAGGAAACGAAAAAGATTCAGAGTGTTGCAATGGGGTAGCAGATGAATTTTAGTCTCTTTAATGTCCTCTCAGTAGAAACACAGAAGAAAACCCCCGATTCTGCAGGGGGTCCCACATTCGTCACCTTTTACAATACACATGCAACGGGATAAAGCAGGTCCATTCTTAGTTTCTTCGATGTCCCCTAAACAGATAAACATGGAAGAAACCAACCCCGATTCAGCAGGGGGGCCCACATAAGTAGCCTCTTACGATCATGCAGTCTTACAAGTTTATTTATAGATTCAATAACTAGAAATATTTGACGTTGTAGAAATTGACTTCTTGTCTGAAAATATTAACCAATTTATCATGTACAGTACCTGTAAACCGGCTACCTTGGGATGTATTTTCATGGCCTGGATGATGGACTGGTGGCCACAGAGATTCATGACTGTAGTACAGTGATTTGGATTACGCAGGATCAGAGAGGCTATCGAAGCACAACACAGTTCAGCCACTGCCGAGTTGGCCTGGTGTTTAATCATGGCCACTAAGATTATCTCCATTGCATTGCTCTTTACAGCTTCTACTTTTACTTCATCATTTCCTGCCAAAGCTTTTATGAGACCAAGAGCTTGCCTCACAACTCCCTAAAAGAAAACATTTTACAGAGATGAGTTAAGTATTGTGCAAGTACAAACCTACTACATGTACCAAGGGTTTGTCTCCCAAAGGCCAATTATACCTACCGGTACATAAAATAAGCCATATCTATACTGAGATATTTTAGGACCCTGTTCAGAGTCTGCCAGAAGTTGCCTCTGATGCCATGATTCAAACAGATCTCGACCAGAAAACTAGCATTCAAACAATGTAATATAGACAGCATGGTCACCCAGGGCTGATAACTATTAGAAAGGTTAAGTTATCTCAATAGACATTAATTCAACAGATATATCACCAGGTTTTTGCACAGTATTGCAAAATTTAAGCCTTTTCCATAGAGAATGTAGTGTTAACATTTAAATTCCAGAATAAATACCTCACCTTATCTTTGACACTGTTTTGTAACGCCCGCAGGATAAATTCTAATCCTTCCATGTCACTCACAGCCTTACAAAACTCAGATCTCACCAACAGCTTGGTTAGTGTTGAGAACAGCTCTTTTAGAACACTTGGGTTGGCAGTGTAATCTGCAACATACAAATCAGAACATAATGTGACATTACATCATCTGGGGCAAAGATCATGTCACGTGATGTGGCCTTGTTCTTTATCAGGAGAGTAATAGTATGTCATACAGCATTATTCTTTGGCATATCATGTACTAAAATATTTTATGAATGAAGCATATATCAGGGAAAGTCTTTGCCAAGGTTAACCAGAAAGTATAAACATCAGATCACCAGGACTGGACTTTTTCCAAAAAAAAATAACTCTGGTTCAACTGTTTGGAATGCCATAAATGTAAATGACTATAACCTGGGGTAAGGCCTTACCAGAACATCAGGTGACATGAATTTGGGCTAGAGGTTAATCAAGGAGTTATAAAGGGATTTATTGGAATATTGTGTCTGATCTGACATTTGTTTTGGGCAGGGATTCATCAGGACATCCTGTGACATTGATCTGGCTGAGGAATTTTTTCAGGACATTATGTAATATTCATTTGGGCCATTGTTTTTATGTTATATTAATTTGATGCATTGATAAAATCAAAGTAGCTATACTCTTGTCAGTAGAAGTCAAATGTTTGCAATAAGTTTACCTTTACACAAATTCAGAAGTGTTTCTAAAGCATTTCCTTCTGTCACAATGGATTTAGCATTCTCATGTGCCTGTCCAAATGGCACTCGAATATCGTCATCTAAGGTGAGCACTCGGAGGGCCCCACAGGTCTCTATCACCACCTTTTCACTACTTTTGTGCCAGTTTAACACCTCCGATAATTTCGAAATAAGACCTTTCTTTACAAACATCTGACGGTTTCCCTCATGCTTTGTACATGTGTTCGTAATAACTCCAACTGTGAGATACAACAAATCCTCATTGTTCCTAAAAGTGTCCAACATATCCATCAGTAACGTACAGCCATGATCGTCTAACAAATCGGGTTGACCATCGGTGAGAGACAGCAAGGACAATAAAGTCTTTTGAAGCATTTTATCATCTGTAAGAAACTTTTCTACAGCCTGTATCAGGGCTGGGTAAGCTTGGTTATTGCCAGCTAGACATCGCCTCGACAGATCAACATCACACTCAGCTCGTATCATCACAATACAGTCTGTTATCTCTGCATTTGAAGATCCTTCACTGTCCAGAGAAATCTTCAGGTTTTTGATAGCTGTTATAACTGGGTGTTCAGTGGCATCTCCCTGTCCAGAAAACAGCCTCGAGTCTTTCACAATATTACTGAGGTTCACACTCTATTATGAAAAAAGAAATTGTTAAAACTATTATCTATTGCATAAACAAATCTATCATTAATCTTTATCAAATTTGAGATAGTGATAGCTGAGGGGAAAAGACTTACAACAGTTAGTAAATCATAGTATCAACAACAAAAAAGTTAATAGCTATTGTAAGATATAAGGCTCAAAATACTACTAAAATACTGAACTTTTTGATAAAAAATTTTTTGCTAAAAGCCTATCTAGGTACCTGTGACTCAAACTGCTTTACTGCATCATCTATTGCTTCATCGGCATCCATTCCAAACTCCTCCATATTCTCCCTCACCACATCATCAAAGGTCTGCTGTGTTATCACCTTAGCCATCTGTAAAAAGATTTGTAATAGAACTTATATTTGTAGATCTATCATGGTATATTATTGGATATATATAACTATGAGAAATACCTCTTAAAATTGGGTATAAAGATGCATGATTTTAATATTAAGAATGTCTGCCGTTGTCTTTGTGTCACTGTAATGTTGTCCATCTCAACTTATATATATATAGAAAAAATCGTTTTGGTAATGTTTTGAACTTTGAACAAGAAAGTAATGTATATAGAATCTTTCAAAGTATCTCAAACCCAGCCCTCTCTACCTTTTCACAACATGGTAGCTTAATTTATCTATAAAATTATGAACTCAGTATTCGAAAGTTATGGTAGTCTGATAGTCTGATAATCTTGTCGCTCTACATGAAGTTCAGTTGTGTTAGCCCCATATTGGCTAGGCAATTTTATTGTCATGACCTGCATTTTTCAGTCATTAATAATAATACATTTTTCCTGAAAAAAAAGTATGAAATCAAAGTGTTTAAATACTGACAACAAGTCGCAGCAACATGGTTCCGTTATGTTACAAACTGCTGACCAGAGTAGTGAGCTTGTGTACCGAAAAATGCAAGCGTTTGTGCGAAACAGGTATTCAACAATTCTTAAACAATCAAAAGCCATACATATATGTGTGTTACTGGTGATCATGAGGGGAAAATGCTTGCAAGACCAGGATTCCAACAAAGAATCTCTGAACTTAAAACGAATGCTCTAACCAAATGAGGTACACCTATTCGCCGGCGATCGATCCAGCCCAGCCACTAGCCAGAGTTTCCTCTGGCCCTGACACCAGACTTAGACATTTTTACAGATAGGTGTCTGGTGCAGGGTCTCAACACCAGACATTTATCTGCTAAAATGTCTTAGTTACGTATACGACACAAGACATCTATCTGTCAAAACGTCCAAGTCTGGTGTCAGGGCCAGAGGAAACTCCAGATATCCAGTCATATGAGCTCGTTTCGCTCAACAGATAATATTCGGTAAAAAATCTAGGTTGTTGTCATGAAACGATATCATAAAACTTTTGTTTACCTATTATTATCTATTGATCGAAACGAGCTTGTTTGTGCTCCATCCCAGTTAACACTCTCCAAACTTAACTGTAAACTTTTAAATCATGTAAATTTAATACAGTTTAACCATCGCAGTGGCGGATCCAGAGACCTATCTGGGGGGGTTTCCAAAGTTCCTGGGGGGGGTTTCCATGTGGGGAAAAATTGAGGAAAATGGTGAAAATACATGATTTTTAAAGAAAATTCTCAGGGTGGGGGGGGTTTCCTGAAGCCCAAAAAACCCCTCTGGATCCGCCACTGCATCGGATGACATTAAAACTTCAATAATGAAGACTTAAAATTGTCATTCACTCATTGCCAAAAAAAGAGAAAGAATTACTGTGTACTGAGTCTGTAGTGAATCAAACGTAAAATTACTATAACAAATAATCGGTCATGAAAAATGCAAACCTTTCTTCCTAGACGCCTTCGATTAAAATAAGTTATTCAAGACTGATCTTTTAAAATAATCCAGATTATTCTAGAAATGGAGCATTGGTCGGAACATGTTTCCATGTGTGTGTAGCCAAACAACATCCTACCGGAAATTTAAACACCATAATAAAGTTCTATAAATCTGTAATTCATTCGTACTAGTTGATCAACTCAAATCGACAACTACTGTAGCATTATTTATCTCCATGTGTAAATAAAGTAATCTTAACTACATTCTTGTTTCAAAAGACACACCTACAATAATAAAATATGCGCGCAGGAATTTATTAAATAGTAACGGATATTCCAGTAACAAAACATACCGTAACATTGAATCCGGATCCAATCAAGCTGATCGTCCTCGTATTTGGAATATAAAATATGATTATGCTTCCGGCTATCGACGAGTTCTGGAGTAAGCTGACTATGTACTGAGGGGCTGTAGCATATGCATACGCTTCCGATCCCCGCACATTTTTACGTGTACGTGCATTGCAAATAAATGATTGGTATTTAAATAAAATAATTCAGGGGCGCTAGTATATATATCGACCACAGAAAAAAAGCCTGGCTTTCACATAAAAAATCTGTGTATACCCAGGCGCGTAACAACCTGTTTAGCAAAAAAGCCCGGGCTTACACATCATTTTAATAATAAAAAGGCGACAAAGACAATATGATACAAAATATTAAAAAGCAAAATATTTGTAAAATAATAGGGGAAAATCATATTTTCTTGCTTTAAAATGGTCATTGAAACTGACGCCAGAACACGGGAGAACGCGTCTCAGGCGTTCTAGAAAACAAAAAAATCTCCTGGGGGAGACCCCCACAACCCACATCGATGGGAAGGGGTAAGACCCCCTAGCTTTTGCTAATCTGTGACATTATATAGGTCTATTGATAATTTCACATCATAGATACACGTAGTAAGATACATTCATTTTTCCCCCGTCATGAACTTATAAAGTATGTTTTTAAGAGTAGTCCTAGGTCTATCTTCAGTAGGGCTCCTGGATATATATGTAGATCTATACATATATCCAGAGACGTATATAACATATATGGCTTTATACGTCTCTGATATATCTAAACATCGATATAGGAGCTACCGTCATCTTATGTTCTGAGAAATGTTAATGATATAAAAAGGGTTTGGTGGACACAACAGCAAAAAATCTGATTAAGCTTCTAGATCTAAAAAAAATTCCGGTAGGGCATGCCCCCGTACCTGATACCCACGGACTTAGATAACATCTAATCTAATTCCGTGGTATACCAAATGTCTAAACATTGACAATTGAACAATAACAAAAAATGACATCATGCAATCAAGATAATAACATAATTGTATTTAATCATTTACTAATTAAGTATAATACTATAACATCCTTCCCAGAATCCATGTTCGTCTATTAGGCCCACTTCCAATCTAGTTGTGTTGTGGTCTGGTAAATTACAAACATCAATTTACGAAATGAAGAAAGCAGCTAATACTTCTGACGTTAAAGTAGTAAATAAAATGCTATCATAAATGGTCTCTCTTGAACTAGAACTGCAATATAGAAATACATTTTCGTGATAAAAGGTGAAAATCAGAATATTAACGAGAATTCCGGACTATATCACGATGTATTTGTAAAGTTCTATTTGTCGAAGGTGACAGCTTAATATTATTTGATTTGTTCCAATGAAGGAACAACTTCCTGACCGATCCACTAAAAATGGAATCTACTAAAAAAAAAAAACATTGAAGAGAAAATGGACTGAAACATAGCTGAAAGTTAACGTTTTTTATGACGAAATCTGCTTAATCTAAAAAATTTACCTACCTATAGCTACCAACTGAAAAAAAAAAGTGAAAACTGAAAACTTTTAAGAAGTGCCCAAATGATGTATATATATATACATTAAGTTATACTGACGTTACGTTAGAACATAACTTTAAATAACCGGCTCGGAAAACAATTCCCTTCCTAATTCATAAGTTATTAGAATCCTTTTCTGTTGCACAGGTGAAGCTAATCAGATTCTAAACTGCGCTCTTTTATTGGAAAATAGACATGTAAGACTATCGATCTATGCCTATCTCCCTTTTCTGTCATATACAGAACCCTGACATTTTTTTCTACTGTCTAGGCGACAGTGTTTTGTTCAAAAAGTTTTGTGAGTGTCTCCTTGTCCTGTTGGTATCCATCTGGAACATGTTTGAAGTGACTCTTCCATCGTAAATGTTATTTAAAATTTTGAAAATGTTAGTTAGGTCCCTTCTGGTCCGACGGTGCTTCAAGGGAATGGGAGGTTCAATCTTTGTAAGCGTTCGGTGTATGTCAAGTTTTTAAAACCAGGTATGAGTTTTGTTGCTCTCCTCTGGACATTCTCGATAAGTACAGTATCTTTCACTTTGTAAGGGCTCCATACACTTGAGGCATATTCCAGGGTGGGATCTAACAAGTGTCTTAAATAGTAATTTAAATTTGTTTTATCAAGGAAAGTAAATGTTCTTCTGACGAGTCATATACATGCACGATACTATTTGCGTTATTCACACTGAGGTGGATATGGAATCTAAAATATATTTTTTCATCCACAGTTACACCGATATCTTTTTCAGATGCTATATTCACCAATTCTACTTATTCGCCTGCTGTTCCTGACATAAAAAAATATTTCCTTTTTTCTTTCGATTTGATAGAGAATATTTGGATGGAATTTCAGTAGCCATCTTGCTGGCCACTGCTGAAGTTTATTCAAGTCATTTCTTAAAATTTGTACATCATCGCTACTTTTGATTCCCCTGTATAATTGTGTATCATCGGCAAATAATGGAGAAGGCGACTCTTGAATTTCTGGTGAATCATTAATAAAAACGACAAACAGAATGGGTCCAAGTACACTTCCCTAGGGGATTCCGCTTAATACTGGATAGGTTTGTGACGGTTTGCCATTTACTATTTCCCTTTAACATCTGTTATTAAGAAAATCGTGTATCCAACTTGTCACCTGGTTACTGACTCCATATCCTTCTAGTTTTTGTAATGATCGCCGATGCCGTAATTTGTCAAAGGCTTTCATGAAGTCCATGTATTCTACATCCAGCTGACCACAATTGCCTATAATTTTTGTCCATTCTTCCAAAACCATCAACAGTTGTAGTTGTGTAGACCTACCAGAGATAACACAAATTGCCTGTTGCTGAGCAGGTTATTTTTATCCGTGTGGTTGACAATGCTGTCTCTTATAAGTTATTCCATGGTCTTTCCCATTATACTCGTTAAGCTGATTGGTCTATAATTTCCCGCTTCGGATTTGGAACCTTTCTTAAAAATGGCTGCGAAAGTTGCTTCTTTCCACGCTTTAGGTAACTTTCCTTCTGACAATGATTTATTGAATATTTCTGATAGGGGTGTATGTATATTTCTTTCAAAAATCTTTCAAAACTTTGGGATGCATAATATCTGGTCCTTGTGATTTAATTTATCTTCATTGAGATTTGACAACAGTTTTTCTACGGTTTGCTCATTACGTACAATTTCATCAAATGGGTAAGATAATTTCCTTTTATTAAATTCTGGTAAATTTGAATAAAAATGTGTTACACCATTTTTTGTGTAGCCCCATAACCTAGCTGAAGGGAGTAATGCTTGCATACATGTTTTACTATTTTTAAAAGTATTTCGGGGGATAATGATAGTACAAGCCTTATTCCGTAAATATTTAGAATGAGATACAGTACGTTACCATTTTTAGTGTAGCCCCATACCGGATGCAATACCTAGCTGTAGGGAGTAATGCTTGCATACATGCACTATTTAAGTATTTGTGAAAAATATATTTTCCAGCCATATTCAAACAAATAAATACTCGAACATTTACATAAAAGGTTTAATTCTTTGTAATGTAATTTGATTTAGTTTTTGTTGCAAGTTTAGTCGATATCTATTTTAAGAATGAAAAATGAAGTCTCATGTATGACCTTGACCTGATCCAACAACAGAAAGTGACCAAAATCTTTTAGACATTTCCTTGAAGAACAGCTGCCGTCCATGACGTTGTGATGGCAGGTATTGGACTGTGTCGTCGATGTATCCATCCGTTAAAGAATCTAGCCATTAGTCGACTTGGATATTTGGGTAAATACTAGATAAGATACGAAAAACGTAATCGAAACGCAGATTATTGACACAGGGGTCTGGGTTGTGTTTTGGGTAAATATGACGTCAGGCAGCTGTTTCATACTGGAAACGATCACAGGTACTCGTTCCAGTCTGATAGAATAGTACTAAGTCGATTGTTAAGGTGTTTTACCACTTTTCACTTTCAACTGGTTTGTGAACATGCATCAGGGCATGTTATGTAAGGCCCAATCCACAGACAGGAGCCTCAACTCGACAATAAATAGATAATACAAATGTTATCCTGACAAAATTAGGATGTTACAATCCTTTGATAGTCAGCTTTGAAATAGAAAAATCATCAAATAAAAACGTATTTCAAAAATTGTGATATTTATTTCGATTTTTCTTTAAAACTCTATTTCCGCACGGCGTGTCTAAATACCCAATACTACCCCATAGGCCACAACCAACTTATGTAACCAGTACTACTGTGAAATATCATCTTTGTAGAAGTTATTTACTTCTATCTGCCATATTTTGTCGGAAAATATGCGATTTGGTGCAGAAGACATCATAGAAATGCTGTGACTGACCCAATACTACCCCATACAACCCAGTTATGCACCCAATATGCTTTGATACAGTGCTATATATAACGTAAACAGAAATATTACTTTCTGTCCGTCGTTTTTTTATTGGAACACTTGCGATTCGATGTAGAATGATTGATATTTGCTCGATATATAACCCAAAACTGTCACATAAAAGTATTACACAATACTATCAAATATGACCCAGTCCTAAAATACGACCTAGAACTGCCTAATTACCTTTACTTAAATCTATATATACAACCTTAACAAAAATATCTATTCTTTTCTACTACTATTACACTGTCATTATTCACAGAGACGTGATCCAATTTTGTTTCTGTCTGTAGAACGGATTACTTTTTAACATGTTCATTGTTATAATTTTCTGATAGATTTTAATGATGATATCTGTCTAAACTTCTAGGTGTTTTTTCCCCTCAAGATATTGTATACTGCTTTCACCTTCTTCCATTACAAGACTTATCGCATAGACGAATTAGTCTTCTGCAAAGTTTTAAATATATCCGTCCGAATTAGCTCTTCCTTGTCGTAATAATCTGAGATTTGGCAAATATTTATTTTTTTGGAGGGTTTTGTTTTTGCAATGAAATATTACAATAAATCTTCGGTGAAAGTCACTTTGAAGCACTTCGGCATATTTCAAAACATTTCAAGGAGAAGATTAAGTACCGGATTAGATTATGTAAATCTGTGATAAAAGCAACAGAGGCGTATACATGTAATTATACGTCCCTATGTTATTATCAATAAGAACAACCCGATTTGAATTTCAACTTTCGGGTAATCAAAGCTTAAATTCTGTAACCCGGGACTATTCTAAAATTCTTCTCCTTGACTCCTTGTTCATAGTCTTGAATCGTACATAGATGACCCCGTCTGCAATTTTCTAAAGCCATCAATCACCAGATAAACGAGCCAATTACCGCTGATAGTAAAAGCCACACCTTATCGGTGACTTCACCCTCCCCTGGTGAACACACAAGTATACTGTTATTTGGATGGTTATTGAATGATTGCAATTGGGGACGCATGTCTGGGTTGACAATTAGATTGGGTAAGTGACTACAAGTAAATTTCAAGTAAATGTTTATCTTGCCAATGAAACTTGGAGACTTAAATCATCAGCACGTCTCTGAGGTCACAAACGTCGAGAATGGATTACGAAATTTTCATCAGTCAATTATCGGGCCAGGGACATATCTGAGCATTCATTTAATCTCATCGGACAATTTTCTTTGGGAGGTTTGAAACATAAAAATTAATGTGCATCAATTTCGTCTACAATTTGTTTGGATAACGTCCTTGTGTCTTGTTAAGTCTATCTCATGATAGGCAGAGCTTGGTTCAGTCAGGGAATTAGATTGGCCATCTAAGTCTGTGGTTCAGGAGATCGGTAACGGTAACGTAAAGAATTAAAAAAAAGTATCCTAACATTCTTCAGTCATCTGATTGGAAATATGTATGTCCATTCTTATCTTCACACGATAATCGTCCGAAAAAGTCCAATGCTGAGACTCATTACTGCGTTTTTCATCACAATCATTTGCAAATAAAAGTTAGATGTAATCATATGAAATTCAAAATTATCAATTATTAAATTAACTTGGAGGGGGTGTTGTGACGTCTCTGCATTGACATATGTACATGTCACTGTAGTAAATGTAGAGAACAAAATTCTGTTGAATTACTTAAAACAGTTGTGTTTGATATTTCTTCTTAATTCATTACTGCAAAGGTAACATTTTCTACTGTAAGTAATTAAATTAGGCTTAAAACAAAATGATTAGTCAAGAAATAATTCTTACTACATTTTTTTTTTACGTAAGTGTTATCACGGACTAATCTAATCCCGTGATGGCGTATATATGTTACATTCATGAATAAACTGATACTAATCTTTAATTTAATTTGTGTAGCAGTACAAGTACAAAATATTCTAGATCTTATAAATATCGGGTATCTGGGGACGAAACAAATATATGATTAATCAGAGACCTATTATATATATTGTTTAAATACAGACTTAAGTAGCATTTTCTAATTACATGGTTTAAAGTATTTTGCATCCGAGTGCATATTCTCTGAGGAAATACGACAGACAGAAGTTAATAACTTCTTTTAGAAGATGTTTCACAGAATCAAAGTAGTATTAGGTAGTAACCGGCGAGGCTTTCGGCCACGTTGTGGAATAGCTTACCATCTACTTTTAGAAAGTGAAATATATATATCATGACCAAATTTAAGAAGGACATAAAAACTCACCACTTCACGTCTGCATTTTAGGTTCTTTTCACAAACGTCATGTACATACCTACCTTTGTTTATTCATTTATGACATTGTGCACATAAAGATGATTATCATTTTGCCTTTTTTGTAAATACTATTACACATATGTTGCTTTAGGGTAATTTTACAAATTATATAGGGCATTATATAAATGTTAAATATTTGTATTATTGGGTCGTCATATTGGATAGAAGACTATATTGGCAGAGTCGTATATATTGTAATATATATACGTCTCTGCTGTTGGGTAGGTCAGGTATTCTGCACGAAGTGGCATATTTTTGCTTAAAAAATACGGCAGATAAAAGAAAATTACCTAGCATATTGGTCAATTATTCTGCATAAATCACATAATCTTTGAAGAAGTACGACAGGCAGAAACCAATCTAATTAAAATGACAAAGATGATATCTTACAGTATTAAATTAGTATTGTATACATAACTGGGTAGTATGCATATGGGGTAGTATTGGGTTGTATGGGGTAGTATTGGGTCGTATGGGGTAGTATTGGGTTGTATGGGGTAGTATTGGGTCGTATGGGGTAGTATTGGATCAGTCACTAGGAGCTGTCTTCAGCACCAAATCGCATATTTTCCTATAAAATATGACAGATAGAAGTAAAGAACTTCTACAAATGTGATATTTCACAGTATTAAAGTAGTACTGGGTACATTACTGGGTAGTATGGGGTAGTATACATATTGCATTGGTATTAAGACGCGCCCTCTTTCTTGCACTAGGTTTTGCTAGTTGTTCATCCATTTTTGTGTCACCTACGACGGATGTCGGAAAGACACACATAGGCGTTGCTTTTCCGACGGCGACGGCGGCGTCAACAATGTTAAGGTTTTGCGTTAAGCTGTTTCTGACACAGCTACACCAACAAAACCTCGATCATAGATGTAGCATGGGTAGTGGAGCCTACTGCACTAAAAACATTTCAATGATTTCTTCATTTTTTTGGTAAAAACCTCAAATTTCTGGACTTAGAAAAAAACTCAACGTTAAGATTTTGCGTTTAGCTTTTACATATTAGGCTGTTTCTGACAAAGTATAAATGCTAGAGCAACCACACTTGGGTCATAGGTGTATCATGGGATGAATAGCTGAATGCATTACACTCTTTACTAGCATTTCAACGATTTCTGTATTGTTTGGCTAAAAACCTCAAATTTCTGGACTTAGGAAAAAACTCAACGTTAAGGTTTTGCGTTTAGCTCTTGCATATTAGGCTCTTTCTGACAAAGAATAAGAGCTACACCAATCAAACCTCAATCATACATGCATCATGGGTAGTAGAGCCTACTACTCTAAAACATTTCATGGATTTCTGCACTTTTTCGGATAAAAACATGAAATTTCTGGACTTTAAAAAAATCAATGTTATGATTTTGCATTTAGGTCCGTTTCCATATGTACTATGTCAAATGCTTTTTATATTGACAAAGCGGGACAGGCGACACATTCAAATTGTTTAGCTGTGCTTGAATTCACAACATTAGACGGAAGAGTGTTCCATAAATCAACAGTTCACTGTGTAAACATTTTTTTCTTATATTTCACTATTCACCCCAGATATTTTACAATGAACAGTACCAATCTTTGAATTGGAAGCGTTCGAATGTCAAATTTTATTTTAGGGAGCACCTCTAAAATTCTTAGACTTGTTTCATAAATTTCATATGAAATGGAAACTCATATAAGTCCTATATATCTACATGTATTAGCAAACAAAATTACATGTATGTGTTAATGTTTTGATGTTTGTTGACTCATGATGTTCTGTTGCAGGTAACAATCTAGTTGCCATAAAAATTATCCAAGATGTACCAAAGCGAAGCATTACTACAGACAATCTTAAATACAAAGGTGATATGAGAAGTGGGAGGGCTCGAGATGGAAGTTTTCTTAATTGTCCAAAGTGTGGATCAAGTCTGGAGTATTTAGATGCAGGTAATAACACAGATAAATTATTTTACTTACTTAGAAACAGTCTTACATTTACATAAGTTTTACAGGATAAATATTACATTGTATAATATTGTATTGATGAATGATTACGATTACCTGTACGTGTCATATATGTATTCTGCTTTATCAAGGTCAAAGTTCAAACTGGTGTAGTTTGGTGGTCTTCAGGATTATTAATGTAGCGGTGTTGTAACATCTTCATATACACCTGACTAATAGGTACACCACTTTATCTACCCTATCATGGCTGCTGACAGGTACTATATCATGCACCCTGGCATTGTGCTCTTATTATGAGTGGCTGTGTATATGAACTATACATCTTGTGTAAGCAGTGACAAACACAGATGCAAATTAAAGTACTACAACTGGTAGCTTACCCTTCATACTAAAATGTGTTCCATTCATTCCTCTCTTTTATCCAACCTAAAGATATATATGGATTGGAGATGAAATACAAGTTAACAGTGTAAAACTTATGGAAATATTGGAATGTTATCATATTTTATTTACTCATTATTGTTATACTTTGAAACGGAAATGTTATTGAAAAAAAACATGAATTGAAAGACTGCCGTGTTTGTAGGAAACATTCACACATTATCATTTTAGGATCATTACAATATTTGGAAAAGATTAGTTAAGTACAATAGATCATGTGCTTCAACTTTTTATCCTAAATTTAATGTATATAGGTTTCAAGATAGATTCCCTGAATGTAAGATGACACAAAATACTACACAGCTATTAAGTTATTTTGATTCCTAATGTGTTTCAGTTGATAGAACGTTTGTACGGTGTGTGTCAATGACTTGTAAGAGCATGTTCATAGATGGGCCTGAACTACATGAACATGTACAAGAAGAAACAAAGCCTCTCACACCAAAAATGGTAGGTTATACATGTACATGTATGTACAGGCATTACAGTAAAAGAAGGCCTCAGAGAAGGCTTTTTACATTCCAATCAGACATATTCCCCACCCAGGAAAGGCAAACACAAAAATGAGCTGGTAAGTTTTGTGTTTAGGTCAGTAATGGATTCAGGAATAGCAGTGTAGCTGTATGGTCATGATCATTTAACTTCACATGCTTATGTGCCTTGATAAGTACAATATCGTTTAAAAAATTGACATGCATCCTTGAACTTCACCTCTACGACCTTAAGCTTGGAGAAGGTTTTGCATCTTGGTAAGTCATGACTAAGTACTGCAGCTTTAGACCTGTAACTTCACATGCTTGTGTGCCTTGATAAGTACAATATCGTTTAAAAAATTGACATGCATCCTTGAACTTCACCTCTACGACCTTAAGCTTGGAGAAGGTTTTGCATTTTGGCAAGTCATGACTAAGTACTGCAGCTTTGAACCTGTAACTTCACATGCTTATGTGCCTTGATAAGTACAATATCGTTTAAAAAATTGACATGCATCCTTGAACTTTACCTCTACGACCTTAAGCTTGGAGAAGGTTTTGCATTTTGGTAAGCCATGACTAAGTACTGCAGCTTTAGACTTGTAACTTCACATGCTTATGTGCCTTGATAAGTTCAATATCGTTTAAAAAATTGACATGCATCCTTGAACTTTACCTCTACGACCTTAAGCTTGGAGAAGGTTTTGCATTTTGGTAAGTCATGACTAAGTACTGCAGCTTTAGACCTGTAACTTCACATGCTTATGTGCCTTGATAAGTACAATATCGTTTAAAAAATTGACATGCATCCTTGAACTTTACCTCTACGACCTTAAGCTTGGAGAAGGTTTTGCATTTTGGTAAGTCATGACTAAGTACTGCAGCTTTAGACCTGTAACTTCACATGCTTATGTGCCTTGATAAGTACAATATCGTTTAAAAAATTGACATGCATCCTTGAACTTTACCTCTACGACCTTAAGCTTGGAGAAGGTTTTGCATTTTGGTAAGTCATGACTAAGTACTGCAGCTTTAGACCTGTAACTTCACATGCTTATGTGCCTTGATAAGTACAATATCGTTTAAAAAATTGACATGCATCCTTGAACTTTACCTCTACGACCTTAAGCTTGGAGAAGGTTTTGCATTTTGGTAAGTCATGACTAAGTACTGCAGCTTTAGACCTGTAACTTCACATGCTTATGTGCCTTGATAAGTACAATATCGTTTAAAAAATTGACATGCATCCTTGAACTTTACCTCTACGACCTTAAGCTTGGAGAAGGTTTTGCATTTTGGTAAGTCATGACTAAGTACTGCAGCTTTAGACCTGTAACTTCACATGCTTATGTGTTTATATGATAAACACATGTTTCATTGCATCTATTTCATTCTGTAATCAATTTATGTTTTATTTTACAGATCCATGAATACTTAAACCGATATGTGACTGGACAACACAGGGCCAAGAAAGTGCTGGCTACTCAAACATTTAACCACTACATGAGGGTCCGACACCACCAGTCCCAGATAGCCAAGGCTAGCCCAGTGCAGCCGTACATGGATTGTTATAACATGGACACGCAAAGCCCTTTGGGCAAATTGAGTCGACCTGGTGTGTATTATATAGCTCTTGACAATCCAGTGTTAACAATCATCGACAATTAGCATTCTTTTGGTTATTTGTTTGAAGATTTGATCAGGATCTGATTGAATGGGAAATAAAAAAAAAAATATATAAGATTTAAATAAGTCATCAGTACTATTTATAGAAGCATTTTTCATAACTTTAATGACTTCATTTGTAAATACATGTAGATATGGATTAAAACTTCATGAAATAGTTTAAAAAAACACATTTCAGGATCCAAAAGTCAAGATTGCTGTAACTATTTATAGAAAATATTTTTCAACAAGATATATGTTTAAGGTATAAAGAGCATCAACAAGTTAAACTAATTAGTTACCATCGTCACTTGTGAAATATTTGTTTGTCTTGTTTCGATAGAAATAGTCTGCAAAGTCACATAATGCCATACATTTTACAGAATTGTATTTTTTGAAATTCGAACGTTTGAAAATAGAAATAATAATTATAATGATGGTAAAGAAACTGCAGGGATTTAACTTGGGATCTTAACATTGCATAGTCTACAATTTGCAAAAGTTGTCATACAGGAATTGTACAAGCACAGCATCAAAATAATTTCCAATTTATGGGCTGCAAAGCATCAACTACTTTACAGGGGAGTAACTCTAAGCCAGAAAAAACTTTTTAGCTCTGTATAGAACTCTCCTTTGCGATTATAATTGATGCAATGGTACTCTTTAACTTAAATGTTGTTTTAGAATTATACTGTACAGATGCGATAAATTCATTATCAGAGAATGCAGTTGGTAGAGTGATACATAACCTATGCTAGGTACTGCTAACATGATGTATGGTAAAGTGTATGTTTAAGACGGTTGTAAACCTGTATCAAATGAGATTTTTATCAATGCCTTGTTGCATTTGTATTTTTGATATGACTGTATAGATGCCCTGTTGCTTATTTTTGATATGACTGTATAGATGCCCTGTTGTTTATTTTTGATATGACTGTATAGATGCCCTGATGTTTATTTATGATATGACTGTATAGATGCCCTGTTGTTTATTTTTGATATGACTGTATAGATGCCCTGTTGTTTATTTTTGATATGACTGTATATAGATGCCCTGTTGGCTGTATCAGGCTCACCCATGCTGAACAGGCAGTCCCCTCTCCCTCCTGCCAAGGCAATGACACCAATACAACTCACAGAAGTCGGGGACAAAGAAGTACAGCTGGACAAGAGCAACATTCTTCTGCTTGGACCAACAGGGGTTGGTGAGTCGACTAATACCATTACACCAGCATATCTAATAGAATTATTATCTCTGTTGATTATGGCAGAAAGTTGTAATTGATATTTAGTAGCATTGTTCTAATTTACAGGAGTTTGTGAGTGTATTATGATATTTCTTATTTTTTATTATTGTAAAATTGTGGTTTGAGGATCAATATTTGAATTGTGTGTAATATTGATTATACAGCTTTTGATTCCAAGTTGTTAATATTATAAGCGTTTTCTTTGTTGCTCAGGGAAGACCTTATTGAGCTCCAAGCTTGCCGAGTGTCTAGGAGTGCCGTTTGCTGTAGCCGACTGTACAACTCTGACTTCTGCTGGCTATGTGGGGGAGGATGTGGAAGGTGTCTTATCAAGGCTTCTACTGAACGCCAACAACGATGTGGAAAAGTGTGAAACAGGTACTTTAGGATTAATTGATTATCAATTTGTATTAAAGGTACAAGTTGTAGATCATTTCATCAGTGTAATGCATTCATGAACTCAGCACTAAAAAAAGGTTGCTCTCCTCAGCCAAGGCAATGTGCATGCATACAAAATCATAGTGTGAGGACACAGTTTTAATAAGAAAGTCACAATAGATCAAAGCTTTACTTAATACATATACACAATGTAGCAATGTTTCAAAACCCACTGGTCCCTTTGTCAGGCTATGACTGAGTGACTCCGTCATACCTTGACAAAGAGACCAGTCAGTCTTGAAACGTCGTGACATGTTTAAGACGTACATTGTTTGTGTATTATGTAAAACTTTGAAATTACCTGGTACACTACATATATCCAAACTGGTGAATCGTATATTGAAGATCGATAGTCAAACTTTGTAAAGCTTAATCTGTAAGATCACGTTATCCGCCAGCATTTTCCTCATTATCTGTGACATGTGCTATATCATGGAGTAGTAATTCTCAGTAAGAGGCTATCCTAAACATGAAGAAGTTTGGTTATCTGATGTGAAACAACAGTTAACGATACTGTGTAAAAAATGAGGATTCCTGTTGACATATTTGCTGTAGAGTGTGAGGGGCTGGAGAGGGGTACATATGATGGCAAATACTGTAGTAACTCCTGATTGGCTAACAACTGCCAAAATCAGACTGCAAATAGATATGGTTTCTCATGACCCTGCTGTAACTTAACATAGAGTTTTTGAGTCAATGAAACAAGATAGCCAAAGTGAACTCTGATTGCCTGATATGCCATTATTTGTAATTTGAATTTTTCATTTTGTCAAACTGGTTAAAGTACTAATAATTTATTAGCTCACCTGGCCCGAAGGGCCAAGTGAGCTTATCGCATGGTGAGGCGTCCGTCCCGCGTCCGTCCGGCGTCAACTTTTTACTTTAAACAACTTCTTCTCAGTAACCAAAAGGCCTAGGGTGATAATATTTGACCAGTATAATGCTGGGATGAAGGGCTACGAAGTTTGTTCAAATAAATCCCCTTCATCAATTTCCAAGGGCACAAGGGTCAAATATGTTAAAAACCAAGAGTCCTAGGGTGATGATAGGTGGCCAGTAACATGCTGGGCTGAAGGGCTACCAAGTTTGTTCAAATCAATGAACTTCATCAATTTCCAAGGTCACAAGGGGCAAATATGTTAAAATCTTTAAACAACTTCTTCTGAATAACGAAGAGGCCTAGGGTGATGATATTCGGCTAATTGCATGCTGGGATTAAGGGCTACCAAGTTTGTTCAAATAAATGACCTTGACTTATATTCAAGGTCACAGAGGTCAAATATGTTAAAAACCAAGAGTCCTAGGGTGATGATAGTTGGCCAGTAACATGCTGGGATGAAGGGCTACCAAGTTTGTTCAAATAAATGACCTTGACCCACTTTCAATGTTACAGGGGTCAAATATGTTTAAAACCTTTAAACAACTTTTTCTGATTAACTGTGTTCAAATAAATGACCTTGACCCACTTTCAATGTTACAGGGGTTAAATATGTTTAAAACCTTTAAACAACTTTTTCTGATTAACTGAGAGGCCTAGTGTGATGATATTTGGCTAATTGCATGCTGGGATGAAGGGCTACCAAGTTGTTCAAATAAATGACCTTGACTTATATCCAAGGTCACAGGGGTCAAATAGGTTAAAAACATTTAAACAACTTCTTCTGAAAAACCAAAAGGCCTAGGGTGATAATATTTGACCAGTATAATGCTGGGATGAAGGGCTGCCAGGATTTTTCAAATAAATGACCTTGACTTATATTCAAGGTCACAGAAGTCAAATATGTTAAAAACCAAGAGGCCTAGGGTGATGATAGTTGGCCAGTAACATGCTGGGATGAAGGGCTACCAAGTTTGTTCAAATAAATGACCTTGACCCACTTTCAATGTTACAGGGGTCAAATAGGTTAAAAACATTTAAACAACTTTTTCTGATTAACCGAGAGGCCTAGGGTGATGATATTCGGCTAATTGCATGCTGGGATGAAGGGCTATAAAGTTTGTTCAAATGAATGACCTTCATCTTTTTCAAGGTCACAGGGTCAAATATGTTCTTAACCTTTAAACAACTTCTTCTGAATAACCAAGAGGCCTAGGATAATGCCAGTAACATGCTGAGATGAAGGACTACCAAGTTCAAATGAATGACCTTGACATATATATTTTAAGGTCACAGGGGTCAAATATGTTTAAAACCATTGAATGACTTCTTCTTAATAAGCAAAAGGCCAAGGGTGATGATATTTGGCCATTAACATGCTGGGATGAAGGACTACCAAGTGAATGACCTTCGCCTATATTCAAGGTCACAGTGGTCAATATATGTTTAAATCTTGTAATGTTTTGTTCTGTATAACCAAAAGGTCCTGGGTAATGATATTTTTCCAGAAGCATGCTGGGTTGGAAGACTATAAACTCTGTTCAACCTAATATTATAATGTCCTTGTTCGACATTCAAGGTCACAGGTGTCATATGTTTCAATCTTTCAATAGGTTCTTATGAATGAAACACTGATATTTTGCCTGTAACTGTATTTTAGTCCACATGTGAGATTAATACCAGGTGAGCGATGCAGGCCCATTGGGCCTCTTGTTTGTTTTAGTTGTGTAACAATCTCTGCTACAATCACAGTTATGTGGTTCCACATTGCACCAAAACACGGTGCACACGGTGCGCACAACTTCGCAGTTGAGTAGCAGTTTTCCTCCATGGTGCATACATGACATGTTCACACATACATGCGATTTGGTTCAATGGTGCTCAATATTATGGAATAAAAAATAGGAAAGACTTGTGCTGATCTCTGATAAGACAGTCGATCGGTGATGCGTCGTTTCAATGCCGATACCAGGGTGATGTTCATGCAAGGAGCTCACACATTTAGACTATTTCTCATACTGTATAGTGTGTAACACGAGACATTTTCACACCCCATTGAGCGAGAACATTTTTTTCCATGAGTTAAGTTTCCCGGTTTACGATGATTAGGTCTTGTATATGTCGCCATTCAAAACATGCTGACTTCTTCTGTTACATGGAACATGTAATGTGTATCATTACTTCGAATCAAATTTCAGGTATCATATTTCTGGATGAGATAGACAAGATCAAGGTGCCTAGACACAACGTTGGACGAGACGTAGGTGGGGAAGGGGTACAGCAGGCCTTTCTCAAGACTCTGGAGGGAACTACAACTACTGTATCACTGAAGAACAAGAAGAATGAACTCATACAAATCAACACCAAAAACATTCTCTTTATTGCATCTGGAGCATTTATAGGTTTAGACAAAATAATTCAGGCTCGGATATCAGAAAAGGTAATGTAAAATTTTATTCTATATTTCTGTAATTCTTGATCCGCATTAGAATATTATTCATCCAATTAAGACAATAGAATTTGGATTCTTATGTGTCTATACTTTTGATCTGCTAATTATCATTTTCAAGTTTTCTTATGGTAATGGTAAATGCACTGTGTTTTAATGGTGATAAAATAGTACGTTATGATTGCTGATGATAAATGGTGAATTTATGTTTTTCATTGATGACAGTATAACATACAGTATATCTGATGTATATTACCGGTTATACAATAGTAAACAGTGTATTTCCTGGTGAACTATACTGTCAGATGATGAATAGTATAAATTGTGATGTATTTCCTTGTGATACATGTTAAATATTATGTATTTTACTGCCAATAAGTAGTAATTATCAATTGAATGATCCATATTTCCTGGTGATGAATATACTGTATTTCCTGACAATAAATATTAAACATGCTGTATTTGCTGGTGATCAGATGGATAGTGAACTCTTCCCCCTTGCGAGCAGATTTTATATGTGTGCTTTAGACGTAAAAACTAAAAAAATCATTTCAAAATACAGGTTCAGATTCTGAAATGAGTAAGTGAAGTCAATCCACACTTTTGCCATTTTTATAGGCCAAATGTCATTGGGCTTAACTCTGGCTAAAAAGATATATTTTACATAATTCATGCTTTAAGGTAGTGAAAACATTATTTTCAACCAAAATCTATCATGTATGTTATCTTAAAATAATTGAATAGCAAAGTAACTTAATATAATTTCTGTAGCTACAGCTATTATAGCTACAGTAGTTAATCTGTGTTACATCTTAACAGGACTTCGGATTTGGAGCTTGCTTCAATCAGAAAGAGGAAATAAGCGAAACTAGCAGCACCGAAGGATTAGATGAGGATAGTGCTAAACTTGACGCCATCTTAGAAAAAGTAGAAGCTGTAGACTTGATGAAATTTGGAATGATTCCAGAACTATGTGGCCGTATTCCCGTACTGGTAACACTGCACTCTTTAGGTGTTAACAGTCTTGTTAAAATTCTTACTGAGCCAGTGGACGCCCCAATACGACAGTACAAAAAAATATTTTCTGAAAGTGATGTAAGTAGACCTCCGACCTGCTATGATGTTATCAATTGTATTGCGATGCTTTTCTGTTTTCATTACTTAAATCTATGAATAGACACCCTCAGAACATGTCATGATAAAATTCAATGCTCCCTGTTTGCACTACCATTAGGATAACACAAGTAGACTAGTTTGATCCTTTGATGTACATCAAAATAATCTTGAATTAGCATAACAGTAAAATTGATCAGCTTTGAAGTTTGTAGTTATTCCTATTTAATCTTCAAAGGACAGATATACGCCTAGCAAAAAGTCAGTTTTTTTATAATACCTGAAACCAATGGAATAGCTTACCACATGCGTTCATTTTCCAAGGGTGTAGATTTGTATTCAGAGCAAAACGTTTGGATTTTTTAGATGCATATTCATAAAAGGGTGTCTGGACAAGGTGTTGATATTTATGTACTACAGTATATATATCTTGTCAGTGGTCAGTGGTCAGAAGTTTGTCAAGAAATGTGATGCTTATCGGAACAAAAACACTTCATGGTTGATTTTTATGAAAGTTGATCATACGACTGTTACCAGATTTAGGTAGTTAGAAGATTACAATTTCTTTTTGAACTATTTTTACAGATACTGTTCTTCTTTTATGATATGGGAGTGGAGTTTGTTAATTAGCCTTTGGGTTATCGGTTTGTTGGAATTGTAGACAATATTAAAATTAGATTTCATTACTAAAACGAAAAAAATGTTCCACCTTCTTTTCAGTCTGAGTTTGAATATGAAGACGGAGCTCTTAATGCTATAGCGGATATTGCAATGAAGAAGAAAACAGGTGCTCGTGGTCTGAGGACAGTACTCGTAAGTTAACAGATTGTGTTGCTTTGTTGTATATTTACTGCCTGTTCTGCTCCGCTCCATTACAATTTTAGGGGAGGAGCATATAGTCGATGACAGCCACTTCTTGTTTCTGCATTATAACTTACTAACCTGATTTTTTTTTTATAATTTTTGTGAAGGTTGGTCAGCATGATAAGTACAATCGATATCAAAGACTAAGGCTGAGCTCAAACTGGAGCAAAATGTTCACATGACCAACTTAGTGTGCTCTGATTTATTTAAGGTTTACGAAAAGTAACATGTTCTAAGATGTATTAATCTTGATGAAACTTGAATAACCGAACTATTGCATAGTTCTTAAATTAGCTTATTGGGTAACAGTTGGAAAGAGAGTAAAGGGAATTAGTTATTATGTGATGAAAACTGGGCGCATACTTTTTTTTTCTATGTATTTTGTTGAGGTCCAAAGTCATCTTAAGATCTGACTGGAGTCAAATGTGGACAATAGTTGTTAGATTACACAGCTTTTAAATCTTTTGTTCCATATGGAGAACGCCTAGGGTCATGATATATGGTCAGTAGCTACATTTAACTAGAATGAAATACTAAAACATTTCCCAAGATAAATTGACTTTACCTACTTTCACTGTCACAGCTAGGGGTCAAACATGTTAAAAGAATCAGCAGCTTTTTAAAATCTAGATGTTTCAAGTCCCTTTTGATATTTTGCTGCTGAGAGTAACATCTGTTGTTGTGTTGGCATAAAAAACAAACTTGATCCACATCCAACTTACAGGTCACAAAAATAGTTCAGAAGTTGAGCTGATCTTGTTTGCAATAAGTATGAAGAAGGAGCAACTAATATCTGTCCCATTGAGAGCTGAGGGTCTCTTAGGCCTCTTGTTTCTTTTCTTCTATATTTTAGTATGGTACATTGTGTTCATTTATAGTGCTTCCTAATTTGAATTTTCTTTATCAATATTGGATAACCACCATTATCCAACCTTAGTTTATGGAGTTATGTCCCCTTAACCAGTGGAGTGAGTGTAATACAATTATCTGACCATAATTAAATGACTTGTTCCCCTTGGTTTCATAAATCAATGCTTCATGAATTCCATGATGTTTTATATTTATTGCACTCATTGATCTACAAGGTATGTTGAATTATTTCTTCTCTGATATCAATGACTCACAAATGAAATATTTGTACTGCTTCATGGTAACCTTGTTTCATGTCCGTTTTACTTCATTGTCACTTTTAACTATTTCAGGAGAACGTACTAAATGAAGCTATGTATGAAGTACCAGGGTCCAAGATAGTGAAGGTGACGTTAACAGAGGACTCTGTTAAAAAGGGCACTCCTGTTATGTATACCTTAGCAGATGAGGAGGAGGAGTATGAACGGGTCAACACAACTGCCTAGTGTTGGTTAACCATCCGGTCATATCTTAAGGCAGTCTACACAAAGCTGGTAGACTGGTTTTCTCACGGAACTGTATGATAACTACCAACGTTTTGCTCATATAAGTCTGAAATTCAGCTACTGTAGTTTTAATAACAGATAAAGATATCAATTTTGATAACATCACAGCAGACTCTAAAATCCAAGGCTTGTAACATGCTGGTTATCTAAATAGATAAAGAATGTGCAAAATTAGTTGAGGAAAGTCTATTGAAAGTTTAGAATTTTTCGAAATACCATGAAAGCATCACTTGAGATAAAATGTTCTAGCACGCCCAAAGTTATTATTCATCCAGTAACTGTAATGTGTTATATATACTCCTGTAATACATAATTAAAGGTTTATAACAAAGTACAGTCCAAACAACTCAGAATGGCAATGAAAACTTCAGGTAGCTTCATTTCTATCATATATATTGCAAATTGATGTAATCGAGTACTGTCTACTTAAATGCAAAACAGTTCCATGATGCTATGTTGAGGCTATATATATGGTGCTCAGTCAAGACATGCTTTTTTTGTGTTAGATACTGTAAAAGTATTTTTTTGTGGTTTGGAAATGCTCAAGATTTTTTGGATCAAGTAAGCGTGAAAATATCGACACACAAATATTTATATAAATATTGTAAATATATACTCTGTATAAAGTATATAGAAGAAATAGATTTCAGTAAGATTGCCAATGTGAACATTTCCACATCACAATCCGTTCAAAAAGTTACATTTCCACACACGAGAATTTTCACTTTTCAACAGTAACAACTGAAGATTTCCCTATACTGACTGTAGTAACATAGTCCTTTGATATATGTATTTGACATTATAATAAGCATTTGTCTTTCTATTTGTCAATCCATCATACTGATAACTTTTTGAAATCTCAACATCATTCAGCTAAATGTTATCAACCTTCCAACAGTTGTTTACATATTGCTAGGGCTACTGAGGCTGAAGGTCAAAGATTGCTAGGGCTACTGAGGCTGAAGGTCAAAGGTTGAGATTACAAAGTTGAAGATTGTTAAGAAGTTTTTATGAATATTTCTTTGAGCACCAAATTGTATATATTATTTGTTCATCAGGATATAAAAAAGCAAAGTGATTGCTTTGGCTTAAGCTCATATTACATATAAAATTAATGGAATATTCCCTATTGCAGTGGTTCACAAAAACATGAGCAAGCATCCTGTTATTATACACTTTGATTTTTAGTGATGAAGAATCTGAAAATGTCATAGTTATATTTGTTTTTCTTATTTTAAAATGTGATATTTGTTGCAATTTAAGAATATTTCATAATGGTGGTATGTTGTGTAAGATTTGGAAGATGAGTGTGTTTTGATTGTTGTAAGTCTGCTCTGACTGAACTGTTGTATGATATAAAGTGGTACATGGTTTATGAATGTATAGCTGATATCATTGTTATGTTACAAAAAATCTAGTTTACCTGTATTGTCAAATATTGTATTACTTTTAAAGCTGAGAATTTCAAAAGTCGTTTTTCTCTCATTCCTGAGCATGTATGATTGAGCTGTCCAGGCTCAAGGAAAGATTCTGTGCACAAACGATCATTTGTGTAACTTGCAAAAATCATGTGACATGGTCAAGAAGTTAATCTGGACAATGAAAATGGTATTCAGCACAAAATCTGTGTTTGAGTAGGAGAACGATTTCACGAATACAGGTCCAGGGTAAAAAGAAGGGTGCAAGAAATTTCCATCTTGCACCCCATATCAAATGCCTGGTGCCACAATGAGGCAACAATGATTGATGTGTGATCCCAAAATCAGGAAAAATTGGATATGGTGATGAAGAAACTGCCTATGTGATGAAAGTGAAAACTTAAATGATTTACCATTATTAACCATATACAAGTCAGAAATATGTGTCTTTTTTTCAGCAAACTTATTTTGTGAAATTTGGCAAGATAAATCAACATCAGTGACAAATTTTTAGCCTTTTTAAACACCTTTTATAATTTCTGAACTAGTAATGACGATTGGAACGAGAGAAAATTACTATTTCATGCCCACAGGCGTAGGTTAAGATTTAAATTCTTTTACCATAAACAGGGGTATCCACTCTTATCCCTTTGTGATGTAGGGTTGAGAGAAGGTGACTTCCCGTTTATAACAATTTTATGACATCACATCAACTGTGCTTTTACATTACACCAGTGTCGTATATGACCAGGCAAACAGAGAGTAGAAAATGAATAATTTAATTCCCCCTTGGATGTGAGATTTGGATATTAAACACTCGGCAAGCCTTATGTTTGACAACTTAAATATCTTCCCCTTGGGTTGGAATCTCCTATTTCTTCCCCAAGGGGTGATACATTAATCACACCTATGATATTTGAATATGGGCATAAACTTCCTACTCACAACCCATGGATACGAAAGATTCTTGTAATATTTACAGTTCTAAGTTTACATAAAATGTAAAAAATAAAAAATAAAATAAAAATGAGCAATTATCACATAATTTTATAAATAGTTACACTTCAAGCACCTTTTTAACAGTGTATTATACCATTTCAAAATATTTCTGGGTGTATTTGTTTTTGTAAGATATAGTTTGAGAGTGTGATAGAAAAGAATAATGGATTGACTAATGATTTGTATATCTACTTTAGCACAAACATTGAAATAAAGACTGATAGATAATGTTTCTTTGACACGGAGGCATTAATTCAGGTAGACACATTTTTAAAAGTGATGAATAGTGGCATTGTTAGAATATTGAATATGCAGACTTGTTTGTTTAACTGGATCAATACAGATATTGATTACCTTCACTTAGTGAGACTTATGGTTTACAATTTACAGCTTTTTTTTCCTGCTCTTGGTGTAATGTACAATGCTCAAGTTCATTGAGGCAGAATGAACCAAAAATGTAAATATGTTGAAGAAACAAGGTTGTTAGTCCCGTCATCTAGACAATTCCCAGCCCCTAGTTTAAGATGTTTTCTTTATTTTAAGCCACAATTTGGTTTGCTTTTATGGGCATGCCAACCGGTTTCTGATTTTGTATCTGAAACATATGCACCACCCTATAGAAAAAAATTAAATCCACATATTTGAATTTATTTTGGTTTGGATACTTCCATTTAATTCGTTATTCCTTTCAAGATAGCTGTTTCATTGGTTGAAACTTTCGGAAGTGGAGTATCTGTTGAGCATTGGACGATGTGGGCAGTGGATGTGGAACAGAAGGGTTTCCTGTGCCTTTATTACTAAGGTGTATTGGAATTAATTTATTTTTTGTAAATGTTTTCCATTAGTGTAATTATGTGCATAGTTTCTGTTTATTTAAAGCACAAATTTAAACATTTGGAAAGAAGCATGGCAAACTTGTTGAACATCTGCATTTTCATCATCTTGGAACTATTTGACAATCAGATAATCATCAAAATTTGTATACCGATACATTAATGCCATATTTAATTGTATATTGTTGATCTTTAAGGGAGTATGTTTCTGTTGATGTTATATCGGCGTGAGCAGTTTTTTGATGTTGATCATGGAGTGCAGAATGCTGCCAAAATATTCCAGGACAACTAGGTAACAATTCATACGATGTATCTGCAGGTTTTGTTTTGTATACGATTATGATAATTTTGTACAATGGACAAAACGGTAAGGAAAAAAATGAATTTATATTTTGTAGAATCATTTTCATATTTAAATAGCTTTATGTTTCTTAATAATCCTTTTAAATTACAGTATGTTCCAGCGTCATACATGCAAAAGCTAAATCAGAATTCTTCACCATGGTTGACTGTGGTTCTGATTTAAGAATTAGGGCTAGCTGGTGACAAAGGTTGTATGTATAACAATATGTATTCAGTATCAAATTTTCGTCATTGCTTTTCCCTCTCTCCTACTCCTGTATTATATTTGTTTTATTTATTTCGCTTTCATTTTAGCTCGGAAAGTTTTTTGAGTTATAAATACGGATATTATATTTATGCAGACTTCTTGTAATGGATAACAAATTCTTTCCATTGGTTTTATTTTATATCTTAGTAGGTGATTATCGGTCAATGCATCAATGCACTTGTGTTAGCTCACTACGTTATATATACTATTGCTGTTGTTGTGTAGGGTTTTATATTTTAACTCTTTATAGTGAATAGAGTATATTTTTTGCGAGACTGAAAGAATGAATCATCTAGAAGTCTGTGTATGAATGGTATGGTCGGGGAATATTGAGTGTTAGGTACAAGTGTATTGTTCTCGTACTTGCAGTGACTGCTGTATACGTTATACTAGGCTGTTTTGTAAATAAAATGAGCACATTTTATAACATTCATTGGAGACAAATTGTTCAAGTTTTGTTTTTAATATCAATTAGAAAAATAATAAAGCAGGAAACCAATTTCAATAAAGTGCGTAATATATTGTGTACCATGCTCATCAAATAGAGACCTGAACGCTAGGACGACACGAGACTGTGCACTCAATGGAGTCTTGTCAATAATCAATAATGATAGTAATATATACTTACAAAACGGAGGCATATGCTTGGGATTTTTCATATTACTATATATTAGTTATGGACAGAATTTCATACTCGTATGTTGCACCAGATATGCATGGGATACAATTCAATCTAGCGTGCTTGACAACTGCCGAGGTAGGTTGGGAAAAAGAGATACAGGAAGATTCTCCAAGTATGAATGGAGTGCATACTTTGGCTTTTAAAATGGGCTTGTTACACGTCCGTCTCAAAGCACACTTCCTGAAAATGCGGCCTCTCGATCCATCATTACATAGTAGAAACAATCTGCCATTGTCCTCCACTCACTGGAAGCTAATTTTAGTGAGCTGCACGTCACCGGAAATGTTGATTACATTGATACGGTCCAATTTCAGCATTCGATGGTAGAATTCCGTGAAATGCTGGTTATTGACGGCAACCTACAACACGGCATCAAAAGGTTACATGTATGAATTATATAAAGTGGGAATACAAACTTATATTTTAGTTCATATTCTCTCATTAGAAATGTGGTAATTGCCTTGTACATCCATGTACATACCGATTTGACGACAACCTACAACACGGCGTCAAAAGGTAACATGTATGAATTATATAAAGTGGGAATACAAACTTATATTTTAGTTCATATTCTCTCATTAGAAATGTGGTAATTGCATTGTACATCCATGTACATACCGATTTTCTCAAGGACAGCAAAACCGAACATATTAACAGTTAAACGTAGTACTTTCATTTCAAATTCCCACTGTAACTTATTACCATACCTTGAACATGTCGTGTTCAGACAAAATCGTGATGTCGAAGCTTGCATTAGCTTGGAAAGGGAAGTAAGGAACATGTTTCTCCTCATCACCCCATCTTCCTCTAATGCAGGAGTTCCGAATCACCTGATGGGAGTGTCCCAGGCGCTGCATCCTGACATCTATGTGGAAAGCGATGTCCTTTATTGCCGTTTTGACACACTCTAAGTTTATGGTGAATCTGAGAACAAAGTGAAAACCGGGGGCGGATCAATGATTTATCTTTAGGGGGTCAAAACTGAAGAGACTTTATACTATGTAGTCGTTCAAAAGATCACTGACATGAAATGACAAAAGAATGAATACAGTACATCTACTGTTATTTTCAACACCTAAGGCTGACTTACCGTGTTAAATGTTTGATGTAAAGTGCACGGCCGTGGTTTCAGTGTTATGTGGTGTTAACATGTTTCTAGTATCATGTTTATTGTAATAGATAGAGCTTTGATTTCTGTGTAATATTCGTGCTTATTTGGATTCATGAAGAGTCTTTATCGGTATACTAATATCAGTTATACGATTATGGACTTAATACTTGGTGAACATGCTTTGATATTTACCAACGAATAAATAGTGACCGAGCCGATTTCACGAAAACCGGTGAATATCATTTTTTTTTATCGAGCGGGTTTGTGGAAGGCTCTCGGCCAATCAGAATCTGTTTAAAAATCAGTTACATAATAAAACGTATTATTTGTCCAAATGTTTCACTGTTATGTTGAATTGACGGGATTACCATAACGCTAAGATAATTAGTTGCAGTGTATTACCTCTTACATCCCGTACGAGGGGTCCCGCTGATGGTCACTATCCTTCCTGCAGTCATATCCCCAGGGATGGGCATATTCAACGGATTTGGCTTAAGGTAAAGAATACTCAGACTAAATACTCAAAGTTGATATATAGACAACAACAACCGAAGATTCGTCAAAACCATATAAAGACATGATAGAACTTCGAAAAGGCCCGGAGGTAAAATGTGTTCCAGAATGGTCAACGTTTGTTTAACCACACGTGGCCCAGAATAATCAGTAACGGAAAACTGCATACCTGTGATGATTTGATAAAAGATTAAAGTGAATTGTGCGGCTTCGTAGCGGTAAAATTTACTGTTTTTGACATCGCACTTTGATACATGTATTCTGTATTTTTGTCTGATCTGTAACCAATAAAATAGTTAATTGCAAGCCTTCGACTTTGTCACGAGACCAAATTTTGTCAAAATTACAAAGAATATAGATTTCGAAAAAGAAAAAGAGAAAACGTGTAGACTAGGATGTGTTTTCCAGTGAATTTATTTCCTCCTTTATTACATGAGAAGGAAAGAAAAGGTGGATTTCTAATATTACTTTTACAGAAGGTTTTTAGCTCACCTGGCACGAAGTGCCAAGTGAGCTTATGCCGTGGCTCGGCATCTGTCGTCCGTCCGTTGTCCGGCGTCAATATTTTACTTTAAACGACTTCTTCTTAATAACAGAAAGGCCTAGGGTGATGATATTTGACCAGAAGCAAACTGGGATGAAGGGCTACAAAGTTTGTTAAAATTAATGACCTTCACCCATTTTCAAGGTCACTGCGGTCAAATATGTTAAAAACTTTTTTAACATCTTCTACTCGATTACCAAACTGTCCAGGGAGATGTTATTTGGCCAGTAGCATGCTTGGGTGAAGGGCTGCAAAGTTTGTTCAAATGAATGACCTTCAATTATATTCAAGGTCACAGGGGTCAATTGTCTTAAAAAACCTTTAAACAACTTCTTATCAATAACCAAAATGGCCAGGGTGATGATATTTGGCCAGTAGCATGCTGGGGTAAAGGGCTATCAAGTTTGTTAAAATGAATGACATTCACCTATATTCAAGGTCACAGGGGGCAAATATGTTAAAAACATTAAACAACTTCTTCTGAATAACCAAAATGCACAGGGTGATGGTATTTGACCAGTAGCATGCTGAGATGAAGGGCTACAAAGTTTGTTCAAATGAATGACCTTCACCCATATTCAAGGTCACAGGGGTCAAATATGTTAAAAATATTTAAACAACTTGTTCTGAATAACCAAAAGGCTCAGGATGTTGATATTTAGTCAGTAGCATGCTGGGATCAAAGACTACTATGTTTCTTAAAGTGAATGACTTTGACTCATATTCAAGGTCACATGGGTCAAAATTGTTTTTAATCTTTAAACGACCTCTTCTGAATAACCATTGGTCCCAGGATGTTGATACATTGCAAGTTGCATCCTGGGATGAAAGGCTATAACATTTGTTCAACATAATGACTTTGTTCGACTTTCAATCACAGGGATGAAATGTTTTAAAAAAAAATAACAGGTTCTTTTGAATGAATTTTAATCATAAATACTGATATTTTGCCTGTAGCTTTATTTTAGATCACTTTTAAGGTTACAAGTGTGAGATTTATACCAGGTGAGCGATGCAGGCCCATTGGGCCTCTTGTTCATTTAGCTTTCGACATACACTCAAGTCCAATGCTGATATGACTTACTGTATGATAATTGTAAGATTTCTTACCAGCTGTTGATTCCCACTTTGAGGACTCGGACCTGTTCGTTGCTGATCATGACCGCCAACTGGTTGCGGATAACCACCTGCCGGGTATCGCTGACTTCCGGCTGCTGGTGGAAAACCACCAGCAGACTGTTGGGGATTGCCAATAGGTTGAGGATAAGCACCGGCAGGCTGTTGAGGATTGTCAATGGGTTGAGGATAAGCACCGGCAGGCTGTTGAGGATTGCCAATGGGTTGAGGATAAGCACCGGCAGGCTGTTGAGGATTGCCGGCGGGTTGAGGATAAACACCTGCCGGATATGGTTGATTTCCGAGCGCTTGTGGATAACCACCAGCAGGCTGTTGAGGATTTCCAATGGGTTGAGAATAAGCACCAGCAGGATATATGGCTTGTGGATAACCACCTGCTGGATGTGGGGGACTTCCGGCGGATTGTGGATAGGCACCTTCAGGAAATGGTTGACTTCCTGTTGGTTGAGGAAAGCCACCTGGAGATTGCTGTTGGCTTCCGACTGATTGTGGATAGCCTCCCTTTTGTTGCTGTTGGCTTCCGACTGGTTGTGGATAGCCTCCCTTTGGTTGCTGTTGGCTTCCGACTGGTTGTGGATAGCCTCCCTTTGGTTGCTGTTGACACGACAGTTCTCCAGCAATCGATGGCTCTGATTTCATGAAGTTGGAGTCCGACACTTCTATATCGTGGTCGGAGTTACTGCCATCAAACGTAGGCTGAAAGACAACAGTCGAACTTATTTTGCATCATCTTCGCTAGCCAAGTGTTCGCTTCGTATACACACCACTTGGAGTGTATGCGAAGCGAACACTTGGCTAGCGAAGATGATCTTTGTATCTGCATGGCCTTTTTTTTTTTATTATTAAGATCTGATTTTATATTTGAAGTGCTAATATGCGGATGACAAACAGAAACGTTATAATTTGTCCTTCCTTTTGTTTTATTTTGGTAGAGGCATCTCTTGTTGAGAAGTATATTCTCAATCCTAGGTATTCTGTTTAATGCTTTCCCTTAAAACTACATTCTCCATGATGCTTTAAGCAAAATGTGAAACGTTACGATAAAATTAGTTTTGCTATTTTGGCTCATACACTAACGGTTATTTAGAAACTCGCATAATTATACCATTGTCTTTTTTAAGCAATTTAAGGAAAACCCCTCTAGTTTTAAACAAAAATACGCTATAACTTGCTTTATTTTGACGAAAATGTGTAGATCGGTGTATGTGACGCAGATCTATGATTTCCTTCAGACGGGTTGCTTTATCACCTTATAAGGAAGTTTTTCTTAACTTCCCCATCCAATGAGAAGTGACACCGCCTTTACATTAAACACAGTACCTGATGAATAATCAAGTGTGTTCGTTATGCTCTTAAACCAGGTCCATGAAGAAACCATTACATATCCTTATCAATAACGACACCTACTCTACTCGCAAATAAGGAAGTTTCATAAGGGTTTCCGTATATACTTTGCCTGACATTGTTTACTTACTCTATGGTGAAATCCGACATAATGGATAGCCACCTCTCCTGTGATCGCCAATGTGGTGATCTTCTCCAGGTCAATACGGTGTATGAAGTCACAGAAACTGGACTGGTCTAGTTTTACCTGACACGTATAAAGTCAATGTAGAACATTCAACAGGAAATGTTACTTAGTGCAGTAATCCAATACAACTGTACCACGTGTAATTGTTACATTGATTAATAGAATCCTCCTCTACCTTGAGGGTGTAACAGAGAAATCTCCTAACCGAGGGGTGATTTTTTTGATTGTCTAACCCGAGGCTCTGTCGAGGGATAGACAACCAACAAAAATCACCTCAAGGTAGGGTATGAATATTCTCCCATCCTATTATTTCAGTCAAAACTCCATCAACAATAATCTACCAAGTTTGTAAACAAAAACACATGTGGGGTATGAATATCGTCATTCACTTTTGAAGACGTCACAATTACCGATGACGCATTTTCATGACGTCACAATTGAACACGTGCTAATCGGCACGAGGCTATCTCCCCCTAGGGGGTGACAAGCTGATCTTTCCCGGCTAAAACGGGAGACATACCTGTGAAGGGTGGGAGAAAATGTATTCATGACATATTATATATTATCCCGTTATGATTTAATCTTGCTTGTAACAAGTATTTTCATTGTCTTAAAAATTTATGTAATCAGCCCATAACATAAAAAATGACGTCACCATTTGTAACGTCGCTTTTGATTGGCTGATACAGCAGCGCAATAATTTCTAAGAGACAAGAGTCCATCAATACAAGTGGATTTCCACAGGGATTGTGTATAGTAGATTAAATTATAAGGATTAACTTGAATATATTTTTCATGTTATGGAGCTATTACACAAAAAACCGGAGTGTACTTTCATCATAAACCGCTTCGCGGTTTATTTAGAGTTCACTCCGTTTTTTTGTGTTATATCTCCATAACATGAAAAATATATTCAAGTTAATCCTTAAATAATGTATACAAAGTGACTAATGTATTATATTCTAACATTGATACTGAATAATATGATAAGAATATTAGTATGTGATGTAGTTTTAATATTACAATTTATAGTTAAAGTGATGTTTGACTCTGATTTTTATTATAGATAATAAATACTAATTTGTTATCCTGATGTTTACCCTTTCGTCGTATGTACGGTACCAATTATATCTACCATCCTGTTTCTGTTTAGTTTAATGAATAGTAATCACATAAAGTATCATTGATTTTTTTTTTGACTCCTATTGATAACGAATACCAATAACATACATTTATATTGATTACCAATTATAATTCCCTCAATAACAATAATAGTTACCTTAATATGTGTCCTGCTGATAATGAAATCCAATTCAAACATGTCATTTGCTTTAAACGGGTATCCGCCCTGTCTTTCTTCATTTCCCCAGTCTCTGCTCAGCCGGCTATTCCGAACAACACTTTTTTGACTGGATCGCACGTTGAAATGAAATGCAATGTCATCCGTACCAGCTGATCCACATTGAAGATTTATTGAAAAACTGGTTGGAAATAGGAAATATTTAATTACTGAAAAAACAAATTAATACGATAGTTTTACTGTACACATTATCATTAATGTGTTCTGATATGTTAAGAATTTATTATTATTCATACATTTTAATTCCGAGCGCTTTAGATAATTAGTATTACCAACGAACATATATTGCTTAAAAGAAAGCCATATGTATTTCCTTTCTCCCCCTACCATTTTAGACTTCCTCGTGGCCAGCTCGTTGGAAAAACCTGCAGGTAAACATTTCTGGTTACCCACTACTGGACTTAATTTCACTGGTCAATCTTTGAACTATGACGTCATGTAACAACGATTTGCGCTTAAATTTTATGACGTCATGATTCACTGTATTAGTGCACTTCCAAGGGAAACATATGCCTTTCTAGATATGCTATGATCGTTATGGGATAAAAAAAAAAGAGGCTGAAAGCTCGTTCTAGCTGATATTCATGTTTATCTAACTCTCATTAGGTAATTTTCAAATTGTTAAAAAAAAAAAAAATGGAAATTAAATACTAACTCGAGTTAGATTAGATAGACATGATGATCAACCACGGTTTAAGATTCTGTTGGGTGCCAACGTTTAAGGAAGCCTGGAAAACAGACAGTCTTTAAAACTGTGTAGAGTAACCTGCTCTTAATGAGAATTCTCTCATTTTCATAGAAATTTTATCATTTTTATCGAATTAACACTTCAATAAAACTATATATGCCATAAAGAAAGTCATATCTTGTAACAAAATAATGGCTGGAATTTACTTTTCACTATGGAAACAGCATAATGACCTGTCATTTCATGAAGTAAGTTCATTTTTAACACTGACAGTTTATTGGCGATGCTGTCCGATTTGTCATGCATTGGGTTTTCAAACTCCAAGAATATTTGATAACAAAAACTCTTATAGCCATGCTAGCTTTATATGTTTACACTCTAAGCTGGGGCTGACGCTAATGAAAAGTATCCGTACAGGGGATGACCCTTTAGTAATCACCTTCGCCCAGTGTTGCATTTAAGCCGTTATATCTGTAATGATACTTGGTTAGACATGAACGCGACAATATTAACATATGAAGAAACTTACTCTCCATTTATCTTGGTCATACCTCGCACCACAATACATGTACCTGAGCACGATTTGTTTGGCAGGGCGCCGACGTACGGGAGTTTCTGAGAAAATAAATACATTTGGAACAGATAATGACCTATTGATTGATTAGACATGTAAACACATTACTGTTGAAATATGTCAATATCAGTTATAAGAGAGTTGATTACAGTGAAAACTGAAATAGTATACAATGTATTATATGTATAATATATTGGTATAATGCTCGTGTTCTGAGAATGAAAGCAATGGAAACAAAACCAGTTTCGTTAATTGCATTGATATGTTATTGTTATTTAAAAATCATTGATATACATATATTATCTTATTCCTAAGCAAAATTGTTGAGTCTAGATATACGTTGAATTACACAATATGTTAGAATAACTCACAGGATTAGTCACGTGACAGAATGATCCAGAGGCATTGGTTGCAGATTTAACGATTTTATCTGTTACCTTAGAAACACTTTTCAAAACTGAATCAAAAGAGAACCCGTCCACACTGAAATGCATGGTTGCGAGTCTGATAATCAGAACTTGACTGCAGTAATACCAGATTAGCGAAGGTTATTTGTAATCCCTTGACGCGGAAATATTCTTTTCGTTTATAGATACTCAATATATTTCCGCATACTTTCGAGTTAAGAGTCACTCATTTTATAAACAGACTAATTGGATACACGGAAGATATCCTTTGTAAGTGTACAAATTTAAGGTTTCCGTTTCCTTTTAGATGTCAATGTCCACCAGGTGCATCTTTGTCATAGTGTCAAGTTTCAAAAAGATCCTTCCTTACTTCGCATTTCAAGTGATTATTGCAAATGTTAGCGATAGTCTGTAATAACACACTTTTTATTATAAAACCTGTTACTAAATATTGCAGACTGATTTTTTCGGCATGCCAATAGCTTTAATAAATCTTTTCTAAAAACAAAACTATTCTTTGTGGGATTTTTATGAAAAAAACAATAAAGATGAAATAAGCAAAAAACAAACAATAATAACAGTGTTCCGAGTATACTAATACAGCGCGACTTAACCATGATTTGAACCCTAGACCTCCGATTATTAGGCTGTCGTTATTACTAATTGAGCTACCACCAACAGCAGTTCCCTGGCTCTATTGTACTACAGTTATATCAAATTCGACATGATTGTGATGTACTGCATATGATCAGAGTGGAGCTCTCTGGTGTGTTGCCTGCAGTGCGACAGGGATCCTTAACAACCCTGTAATATGATACGTCTATAACACACAGTGTAAACATCCTACATCTTGATTATTCTGTTACACATTTTAACTTCCTTATAACACGATATGAATATGACAACCCTTACTATTGAGATATTTCAAGCCGAGTTGATAAACTTACTTATGAACAAGGCATGCCTAGTCGCATACTAGTACGCATTTGATAGACCTTTTATGTCGTATTAGCGATTTGAAATAAAACGGTTCCTTACTGACAGAGTTAAATTGATAGGAAATAGTATGAGCGGTGCTGCGTGATATTGAAAACTTTCTTTCTTGAACGCTCAATTTCGGCCCATGTATTCTTTTACCTTGTCTTGAAGTATGACAGGTTTCTGTTTTTGTCTTGTGAATTGCTGTCTTCGTATGTTGATACTGCTTACTTGTAACTTTAAAATAAAATAAAAGATAACATAGATAATTCATATCTCTAGTCATGGAAGATTCTGTCTGAAGTCATTTTCCCGTATGATACCTTTTTGTTTTGAATGTAACCATTTTTTTTGCCCTAAATTAAACTATGAAACTATGCTAAAAGTAGAAGAAATGTTTTCTTAAATCACGTCGAAGAAAACAAGATCTAAAAAGGATTTTTTGACAGATTCCGGGTAAATGTGGTGTCGCTCGAATTTATGTATAAAACATGTGAATATTTGTTGTCAAAATGCTTGTTTTATTTGCTAAAACCAAGAAAATATCGAAGCGTCAACAAAACCGTAATTCAAGCTCAAAATCGATCAAATTAAAGTAATATATGAACTAAAGAAATTCTGAAATATTACAAAGAGAACTAGAACTGTAAGCCAGAGGCTTACTTATACCCCCGCTCCTATATAAACTAGAACTTGTAATTGTTCTTGTCATCAGAAGTCTAGACGTAATGTTAAGGAACATGACAAACCATGGTTTGATAACGAATGTAAACGTTTACGTAGAATATATAGAAACGCTTTCAGATATTTTAATATATGTAGAACTGTTAGCAATAGAGAAAACTTAGTTCGTGAAAAGAAGAAATACAAGACCTACGAGGCGAGGGTGAAGAGATCTTATCTTTGGAATGAAGGCGATATGTTAGACATTTTGAGAAAAAATGATCCAAAAGTTTTTTATAGTTATTTTTCTAGACGTAAGACTTGTGATTCCGGAAATCTGGTTTTAAATGATTTTTACCAATATTTTAAAGATATTGCCAACAATTCAGTTGACTTTTCTCCCGTCAATGTTGAGCAAGTTGAAGTTGATAACGAATGTATTTACCCTGAGCTTGATGACGAGTTCAGTCTTGATAAATTGTTAGTTTCAATGAAAGGGTCATCCAAAGGTAAATCCGCCGGTTTAGACAATGTCATTAATGAATATTTCATTGAGTACATTGATGTTTTTGCACCAGTTTTCCAGAAATTGTCTAATACTATGTTACAGGTAGGATACTTTCCCAAAGCTTGGTCAGAAGGAGTTGTTATACCTTTGCATAAAAAGGTGATAAAAACGACGTAAATAACTATAGGGGAATCACGTTAGTAAGTCATATGGCCAAGTTATTTACCTCACTCTTGAATAAACGAATGTTAAAGTGGAGCGAAAGCGAGAATGTAATAACAGATGCTCAGTTTGGTTTTAAGCCCGGGAGTGGTACCAGAGATGCAATCTTTGTACTTCATACCTTGATTACTAAAACTTTACAGAGTAATAAAAGGCTTTATTGTGTTTTCGTAGACTATAGAAAAGCGTTTGATAGTGTATCACATGATAAATTGTGGTGTAAATTGTGGAAATCGGGTGTAAGAGGACGGATGCTTAATGTTATCAAATCTATATACGAGAGTGTTAAGTCATTTGTAAAGCTTCATGGTAAATTATCTCCTATGTACGACTTACAGGTCGGATTATTACAAGGAGAATCTTTATCTCCAATAATGTTTTCTTTATTTGTCAACGACATGGAATCCGAATTGATTAAGTCAAATTGCCAAAGTTATCACTTGCAATTACTTAATTTGTTTTTAATTATGTATGCCGATGACACGGTATTTTTTTCTGAGGATGTAGTTGACCTACAAAATATGTTGGATTTTTTAATCACTTATTCTCGACGTTGGAATTTATCTGTAAATGTAGACAAAACAAAAATAGTTGTTTTTAGGAAAAGTAAACGATTGTATCCAAACGAGCAGTGGATTTTTGATGGTAAAGCTATAGAAGTGGTAGATCAATTTTGCTATTTAGGTTTGGTTTTTAATTATAATGGTAAATTTACCATTGCATTGAATAAAATTGCTGTACAAGGAAGGAAAGCTTATTTTCTTCTTAATCGGAAAGCGAAAAGATTTTTGTTGAATGAAAAGACCAAGTTATCTTTATTTGATACTTATATATCATGTATTGTAAATTACGGGTGTGAAGTATGGGGTTATAGTCCTGCACCGCAGATTGAAAATATACATTTATTATTTTTGAAAACCGTATTGGGTGTCAGGAAAACAGTAAATAATGCCATGGTGTATTTTGAACTTGGTCGTTACCCTTTGCATATACAGCGTAGGATTGCTATTGTAAAGTACTGGCTGCAAATATTAAAGACTAATAACTGTATTTTGAGGGCCTGTTACGATGAACTTTTAGAGCTTTATAACAGGAAACCAAATTGTAAAGCAAATTGGGTTTATCATCTGAGACGTGATTTGTGTACGTTGGGTTTTGGAGATGTGTGGTTGGCACAATGTGTACCAAATGAGAAATCTTTTTTATTATTATATATACAACGCATAAAGGATACTTTTATTCAGGAAATGAGAAACATATTCGAGACATCTTCAAAATGTTTGTTGTATAAACACATTGTTGACCGTTTTGATCTACAATGGTATTTTACAAAACCGCTATTTAGAAAAAATAAATGTATTCTTGCGAAATATAGATTGCAAGCACATAACCTTAATATAGAGAGAGGTAGATATAATGCAGTGCCTCGAAACCAGAGATTGTGTACTTTATGTGATCTTGGAGATGTCGAGGATGAGTTTCATTTCATTCTTATGTGTCCTGTGTTTTTAGAATTAAGAGTATCGTATATCAAGCCATATTATCGTATTCGTCCTTCTGTGTTTAAATTTATAGAGCTACTGTCTAGCAAAATTTTTAAACTTATTAGAAATTTAAGTAAGTACTTGATTCAGGCAACTGTTAAGAGAAGTCGTATATTATGAAATATAAGCTGTATCAAATTCTTGCTATAAAAGTTTTGTTACTGTATAATGCGATTGAGATCTATGTCTTTTATTTCACAATAAATTATAATCTCATTTCATTATATAATATATAGTACTCGTTCTACCTTCATGTTGAGGTTGTATGATTGACTTTGAAGTTTTGTTATTTCCTAGAAAATTTGGTTAGATTAAGGCTTTATTTGTATTATTTCCTAAACGACTAAATTATGCAACTAAATTATGCTTCATAAGAGTCCGCTAAGTTACCTTAGGAAAACCTTAAAGTTTTCCCAAACTTATGCCAATTTCATAATTTGTAAATATTATGTATGGAATTGAATCTATTGCATATGTTCTCCGCCATTGTATAAGATGTTTGTAAAGTGTTTATCTATATGTATATTTCTGTACGCCTATATGCAATGTGCATTTGGTAATAAATTGAATTGAATTGAAGCCGGAGGCTAACTTATACCCCCGCTCCTATATACACTAGAACTGTAAGCTGAAGGCTAACTAGGGCAAAGCATTGCAAAGCAATCCATAGTCTCCCACCAGTAATGATTTCTTTATTGACTGAGCTGTACATCTATTTAAGTATACAGGTCACTGGCATACTTCCTGTTCTCCCTCCTCATGCCAAACATAATTACATACCAAATGTTATTAGCTGAGATGAACCAATTTTGCTGAAATTGTCCTATTAGTTAAGGAAAAGATGTCAGGACAAAGATTTTTATCAAAGAGACATAACTCCTTAAAAAGGCTCGAAATGAAAAAAATACTAGCCTGATGCACGACATCAGGGGGTAATTACCATATCTGTAAACTTTCATCGAAATCGGCCCAGTAGTTTATGAAGCAGACAAAGATTTATTCAACAAAGGGCCATAACTCCTTTTAAAATGGTTGGAATGAAAAACTACTACTTGGATGCACAACGTCAGGGGGCAGTTACCATACCTATAAACTGTCTTTGAAATTGGTCCAGTAGATTACGAGAACTTGTCAGGACAAGAATTTTTCAACAAAGGGTCATAACTCCAAAATAAAGGGTTGAAAAAAATACAGGTACCTGGATGCACAACATCAGTGGGTAGTTATGATATCTGAAAACTTTCGTTGAAATTGGACGCATAATCCTGGAGGAGTTGTTTGGACAATTATTTTTCAACAAAGGGCAATTACTCCAAAACAAGGGACAGATTGAAAAAATAATGAGACGAAGTGGTCCGGAAGCATAAGCGTATTTTGTCAACGGAGACATCTGTCATGTAAATGTAGGTCTAATCCAGGTACCGAAAACTTTGTAGTGACATCAAAACAGCAAGACACATCAAGAAACATAATCAAAGCCATCGACCTTTATATCACACACAAGACATAAGACATTTCCCTATGAGATCCTGAAACTTGTTCGTAACAAATTGACTGCGACATGTAACCACCGTAGGTTGGAGAAGCAGGGGTGTTATGACAAGAAAAGGACAAATCACGATAGGAAAGTCGAACATGATGTAAATAAAGATGGAGGAAAGCGGCTGATGTAGGGCAGTCTGTGGTTTCCTTGATTTAAAGTTCAGGGGGGGGGGGGGGGGGGGTAATTACAATGGTTAATACATTGCTTGTTATGATTGTTATGACAGTGTATTGTCGATCTCTGTTAATGTGAAATCGAGGCCTTAGATAGGATAGGAACAGGTCGGCCAGAGGAGGGAAACTATTTGTTCCCATAGGAATGTCTATAGACTGCTCAGGGTACGTACCGCAATAGTCATCAAAACGTCACACATAAACAATTACTGGTTGTGATATATAACTTTTCGATAATGCACAACATCTTTTCCGACTCAATGTGTAATGCAACATCGATTCTATCTCCATTTATACTACACATACTAAGGTGACAAATTACGTAAGATTACCCTGATACACATTGCAGTGTGTATTACGAGTTTTCTGATACATGTATTCATTTTAATATAAATATAAGATTAAGTATAACAACAGTATGATTTGGAATATCAATCACAAGTTTTACAACATAAGTCACAAGATTTAGAACAAAAATCACAAGATTTCGAATAAAAATCACAAGATTTAGAACAAAAATCACAAGATTTCGAATAAAAATCACAAGATGTTCAAATATTGCATCATTTGCCACACCATACTTTAGTAGATAAGCTCAGTCATTGCCAGTATAAGTTGCTAAATCAATAAATTTGTGAGCAAGGCCCATTCAGATGAAGTAGAAGAGGCATACTACGACACGTATAGCAATTTTATTGGTACTTCAACCGACAAAACATAATTAAAAAACATAAAAAATAATTGTGCAAAAATTTTAATTTACAAATTGCATGCATTATGAATAGAATCGTTTCATATAATAAATGAAAATAACAGTTTTCATTTGGTGTACTGTTTAATTATGCCACCACTCAGTTCAAATCACTAAAGAGTAACCGTGCTGCCACATGTGGTGGATCAACCAATGGCGTGAGTCCTTTATCACATGGTTTACTGGAAGCGCACTTGGGTGAGTCTGACGTCACCGGAAATGTTGAGGGTATTGACACGGTTCAATGGTCGCAGGCGATGGTGGAACTCCGCGAGGTGTTGATTATTTACGGCAACCTATAACAAATGGAAAGAAAATGACGTATATTCATTAACAAAAAAAATATTGTTAGTATTAAGCTGTGAACTTAATATATTGCATATATATTTTGCATTACGACTATATAAAGCTATATTGTTGTAAACATACTAGCATTAGCGCAGTAAAACATTAGCGCAAATTATTGTAAAATACAGGACCTTGTATCTGTAAGGTTTGGTTTACAGCTAAGGTCATTTAAGGACATACATTTGTAAGATTCACTAGGTACATGTATGTAATAAAACTATTTACAACCTACCTTGAACTTGCCCTGCTCGGAGAGTATCATGACGTCGAAGTTTGCATTAGGCTGGAAAGGAAAGTATGGAACTTGTCGCTCCTCCCCACCCCATCCTCCATTGATGCACGAGTTCCGGACGATCTGGTTGGTATTTCCTGGAAGCTGCATCCTAACGTCAAAGTGAAGGGCAATGTCCTCGCCAGTCATTGGGCCGCACTGGAGGTTGATGGTGAATCTGGGAACGCAAGAAATTCAGGGACGGGTGAAGGATTAAATTTTTAGGGGCAGAAAAGAAAATATTCAAAACGCCATATTTTTGTATGATGAAATCATTTATTTCAGCAGATATTGTAAACTTACATTTTTTAGCAGTATTCTTATCTTAACGCTTTGCACGCTTTGGAAATTGGGCTAAAAATGCATGCGCCAATTGAACTTAAATGTAACTTGTTCTCTATTGAATATATTATTGTTGCGCCAATTCATCAATGCGCTATTCTGTTAAAATTTGTTAATGCGCTAAAATAGGTACATATCGTTTACAGTATATATACTTTCATCGGATCAACAGTTAGCCAATTAGTAGTGACTTTGCGTAAAGATACAACTCAATGGCCGATCTAGAGTAGTAATCAGGAAAAAAAACACGTGTGGGACTTTTCTTTAAAAAACATATCATCTCTCCATTTATTAATCCTCGAATTCGTCTCTGGACCCGGCACTGACATGTGTCCAATAAAACATCACATGTATAACAACATTATTTACTAGTTCTGTCTGTTTATTACGAGTTGTTTACCTCTGACAGACACTATGTGGGATACCACTGATGCACACCATGTGTCCAGGTTTCATTCCACCAGGAATCGATGTCGTCAAGGGGACAGGCTGCAAAAGAAATGGTCCATCTAGGATTTATCGATAGTTCATGCAATTTCTTTATCACGATCATTTTACTTTCTTGATGACATCAAATTTACCAGGTTCGACTCATGAATATATATAGGATAGAGAGAAATGAGAGAAAACAAATCTTTACCTAAATAAATACATACGTTTCAAGCTCAAAACGGCAATCTCTTAAATAATATGGTTTGCAATGATTCAATATCTACTTGTGAGTGACATGCTTACAATCAGTCAACTCACACGCAAAATAGCATGCAAGTACGGTGTGTGACACGTGTAAATGGGTGAGAAAATGGGGGAAAAACTATCTGCATCCTATTATTGATAACATAATTATGACAAGAACATGTTAAATCGCAATGTCTTTATATGTGTGCAAAATAATAACCTGTTCCAACCTACCAAAACAAAACAAAAATCAATTTTCGGTACAAAAATGTCACTTCAATGACACCAAGTGTTGGTATATACCATCATTGGGGTGTCATTGAAAATGTCATTTTTACAGCAAATTACTCTCAACCCTTAAAATTATAAAATTACTCTGAACACCTCAGTTTAGGTTCAAATATACTGTATAGCTGTAACAAATTCTCAGGTCTATGTGAACACAACCGGAAAGGTTTTAAAATGGTCAACATGAAGTAGCTTACTGGATTATACAGGGGTTGTCCTGGGGCAACTACACTGCCTTGAGGGGCGAAAGAGGCGCCTGCTGGCGGGTAGCCCGGCTGCGGGAAACCCGGCTGCGGGAAACCACCCTGGATGATAAAGATATTAAGAAAATGTACTCATCTTTTGATAATACATGACTGGTAGGACGTTTTGATAATTACTAAACATCCCAAAGCCCGGTTTCAAAACAAACAAGTTCATTTTATTAGCTCATACTCGCGTTGTCGAATATTGATATAGTATACAAGATATTTATAAAGGTAGTTCATCACATTCATTATACACAATAAGATTGAGTGAAAATTTGTTTACTCGCCCTAACACAAATAATTAAGTGCAGTGGATATACTTACCCCGTGTCCATGGTGCTGGCCGTGACCCCCGTGACCCCCATGACCCCCATGACCTCCATGACCCCCGAAACTGATGGACGATATTCCCACACCCCCGTCAAGGTGGAGCGTGTTGATATGGCGCATCTGGATCCGGTGGTTAAAGTCACAAAAATGGCGTCCGTTCACAGATATCTGAAGAAAGAGGTAACACTCAAGTATACTCGTATACACCTGATTAATAAGGCCTCCGGCCGTCTCTACGATACTGAATTGTTCAGGAAACAATAGCCTCTGATCATTTTGATCACTTGGATTTCTAATTCCATGTTTCAAACTAGGGAGAGATAAGCTAGAAATATACAACTGGACAATTTTTTACCAAACTTACGGGCTTGTAGCAAGTCTATCTTTTGATTTACCACATATATAACTACTTTAATAAAAGACAGCACCATGCAATTTATTATTTAACATTTAAGACCTGCAGTCATACGTTTTAACCCTTTCACCACAGTAGTCCCTAATGGACGCATCCAGATCAACGCATGGTAGAGTCTACTAAAGTTACATAGGGGTTAAAGGGTTAAACTATTTATCAAATGATACTACATCGATGACCGCCTTCGTATAGTATAAAGTTTGTTGTAGATATCATAATCTTAAACAACGGTGTCTGTCTTGTTTGAATTTTGATAATAAATGTTTGATACAGATGTCCTGAATTAACACGCTGATAACCTTGATATGGTTGTGCTTAATGTGAAGTGATATGTCGAATGGGACGCCATGCTGGAAGGGGTTCCCGCCGTGCTTTTCCTCGGCGCCCCAAGACCCATGTTGGCAGGTGTTTCGTACAACGCAACCCTCGTTGAAACGAACGTTGAAATGCAGGGCAGTGTTCACAGTAGGATCAAGGCTTGCTCCACACTTTAAGTTAATAGTAAACCTGACAGAAAATAAAATATATACTGTATCACATGAAATGTTCGTTGTGTGTAAACATTCGTGGTTTTCGTGGTTGCTATTGAACCACGAAAATAAATACAACAAATTTGAATGATATACGTGTCTACCGTTTGTTAATATAGGATATCCACGAAACGATCTAAAAGGCTTCAAACCACGAAGGAAAGTACCCACGAATATTTCGTGTTATACAGTAATAAGTGAACATTCGAAATATGTATCGGAAAGTAAGCATACATGTAACAAAGATTTGATGTAATGCTTTTTCCAACCTTTCCAATTCTTTTTATTTACCTTTGTCTGACAAAGCCTTTGACTACTCACTTATAGACAAACAATGAAATGCACTCCTGATACTACAATGAGTGCGTTTCTTAAACTTCCTCTTAGAAAACTAGAATATAACAAAATTACTTTGAATTAATAAGAATGTATAACTCTAAACAATGTATGCAGTAAGGTAACATTATACAATGTTCATATTTTATAATTCAATGTACTATTAGTAATGTGTAGTGTTTTCGCTGGCAACATCTATATATATATATATATAAGCTTAAATAGGGTCCTTTATTACATAACATTGGTGCATTAAATATTTCCTCTTTTCCTTAACTTTCGTTGACATTATCCAACGTACATGTTCTGATGGTGGTGATGAGATGGTGTGCCTTGGATATTGATCTGAGTGCCATCATGGACTCCCCCTGGTATCCCGCCGATGTACGGCACTTGCTGTTAACAGAAATATCATGCTATAACATACATGGAACTACATGTAAATGTGTTGTGTAAGCTTGTCATATGTTATTTAAGTATAGTTATATATATATATATATGAAAACAAGACTGTAGCCGGTATAAATATTCGATTTATTCCAAAATGATCAAAATGTCTATACATTATTTTGAATATCTTTTTGTTTACGAAATTTTCGAACATAAAATTATTCCAACCCTCCTCAAACATATACGCAGGTAGGTAGTTGAGTTTATTGATGATCCTTTGTCTTCCCTCCTAGAGATACTTCATAGGTCTCTCAGTATGACTGTGACGTAGCTTCTGGTCTGGAAATCACCACATACGTAACCCGACTCATTCATGTATAAAATATGGTGTCTAACCTATTAATCAAATCATTTTCTCGCCTCTAGCTTCCAAATTTGTCTATTTTTACATTGTTGTTAGTCACCGATGAGGTAAGGGGTGTCTCAATTACCTGATCTTTATCTTTCTTTCTACTTCTAACTACCTTTTATTTCCTAAGCTTGGCAATATCCCAAGTCCGGCTTTCATGTTGAGCGTTCGCCCAGGTGAGGTAGGCAATGGGCTCTGGCCCTATGTCGGGACATACCAAAGTCCTTAAAAATGGTAGTTGTTATTTCCTACTAAACAAATGGTTCACCCGTTGTCATTATAATGTGACCGGGCGGAATACTGTACTGGATGCCTTCGGCATGGTGCTTCAGTGAGATAGCATTATAATAAGTCGGCATCAGATCCGCGCTATACCCTGTCTCCAGCATACATAATATTATACGCTTGCACTCTTACACAAAACACATGGAGGCACATCGATGTTAATAGGACGTTAAACAAAATAAAACCAAACCAATCCCAACAGCATTTTGCTTTAACCACAACTTACGGTCAAAACGTGTTTCGGCATCTTATCGAAGGACGGCAAACTTCCTTTTATACAATTATTGTAGTTATCAGCGCGAACCTGGCCGAAACACTAATTACCAATGGTTAATAACCAGATTATTTAATATCTATGTACAAGAATTAAACCATGTAAAATTTGATACCGTGAAATCGTTATGAAGTGAACAAGAACATCAATTAGATGTGTATTCGAGACCGTTTATATTATATATCTTCGACAGGAATTCAAGGGCGCGCTCGAAAATAATAGGAATGTTATGCGAGTTATTGGGGAAGCTAGCGACCACCTTACTATCGGAGTACATAGCGACCGCCTTAATATCGATGTTCCTAGCGACCTCCTTAATATCGAGGTACCTAGCGACCGCCTTACTATCGGGGTACCTTCCAACAGCCTTACTATCTGGGTACCTAGCGACCGCCTTACTATCGAGGTACCTCGCGACCGTATTGAATTATGGTTACCTAGCGACCACCTTACTATCGGAGTACCTAGCGACCGCCTTAATATCGATGTTCCTAGCGACCGCCTTACTATCGAGGTACCTTGCGACCGCCTTAATATCGAGGTACCTAGCGACCGCCTTACTATCGGGGTACCTACCAACAGCCTTACTATCTGGGTACCTAGCGACCGCCTTACTATCGAGGTACCTCGCGACCGTATTGATATATGGGTACCTAGCGACCACCTTAATATCGAGGTAGCTACAAGAATGTAGCAACTGCCTTACTATCGGGGTATCTAGCAACCACCTTAATATCGAAGTACCTAGCCACCGCCTTACTATCGAGGTACCTAACAACTGACTTAACATCGGGGTACCTAGCGACCGCCTTCCTATCGAGGTACCTAGCCAACGCCTTACTATCGAGGTACCTAGCCACTGCCTTACCATCGAGGCACCTAAAGACTTACTTAATATCGAGGTACCTAGCCACCGCCTTATCATCGAGGTACCTAGCCACCGCCTTACCATCGAGGTACATAACAACTGACTAAATATCGAGGTACCTAACAGCAGCCTTACTATCGGGGTACCTAACAACTGACTTAATATCGAGGTACCCAGCCACCGCCTTACTATCGAGGTACCTAGCGACCGCCTTACTATCGAGGTACCTAGCCACCGCCTTACCATCTAGGTATCTAACAACTGACTTAATATCGAGGTACCTAGCCACCGTCTTACCATCGAGGCACCTAAAGACTTACTTAATATCGAGGAACCTAGCCACCGCCTTATTATCGATGTACCTAGTCACCGCCTTACCATCGAGGTACCTAACAACTGACTTAATACCGAGGTACCTAACAACAGCCTTACTATCGGGGTACCTAACAACTGACTTAATATCGAGGTACCCAGCCACCGCCTTACTATCGAGGTACCTAGCGACCGCCTTACTATCGAGGTACCTAACAACTGACTTAATATCGAGGTACCTAGCCATCACCTGACTATCGGGTACCTAGCGACTGACTTAATATCGAGGTTCCCCAGCCACCGTCTTACTATCGGGGTACTTAGCGACTGAGTTAATATCGAGGTACCTAGCCACCGCCTTGATATCGAGGTACATAGCGACTGACTTAATATCGAGGTACCTAGCGACTGACTTAATATCGAGGTACATAGCGACTGACTTAATATCGAGGTACCCAGCGACTGACTTAATATCGAGGTACCCAGCGACTGACTTAATATCGAGGTACCCAGCGACTGACTTAATATCGAGGTACCTAGCGACCGCCTTTGTATAGGGGATTGTAAAATCGATGGATTGTTATGAAACTACATGTTTCACCAGAAGGAAGTTTGTCTTAGCACATAAATATCACAGACAGAACGTGCATGCGGAAGCTCACGGACTCCATCTATAGGGGAGACTCGGTAATCCAGTTACCGTTTGTACTGGAAGTTTGAATGGGATAGTGTCAATCTGACACCTAAACACTGGCCGGACAATAATACACGACTTGAGTAACAAGGCTTTACTGTATATGTGTAGCGTTAGTTTACAATTACGTGATTCATATAGATCGCTCGTGGGACAAGTAAGACTAGAGCAAGTAAAAACATAAAAAAATACAAAGTTCAAGACGTACGAGGAAGTATTCCTCAATAGCCTCCTAAAACGACAACTTAAAATATGTTAATATTGAAATATGTAAATACTAGAGTAGAAGTCATTCCTTTGTGATAACAATACACTAAGGATCAAATGTTATAGAATTCAAGAATAGGATACATTAAAATACATTCTCTTATTTAGTCCGAATAATTCTGACGTTTTATCAACTTTTTTCATACCGGTCTGTCGTCGATTAACGACTTGCATACGTGTCACTATATATAATACAAAATCAATGGTAAACAATGTATATCAAACATTGAAATAAAGAAACAGCTTGTGGAGCATGCTCAGGTTGAATGCTTAATTGGGATGAAAATCGGAATAATATTTTACAATGTGCTAAATTACAATTTTTCATTTTGTTGATATAAAGGTATGCGGCGGCAGTGGTATTTATATACATGTATACATGGTAGATAATAAATAAACAGGTATACATGTATATATATATATAGACAGTGGTATACATGTATATATATATATAGGCAGTGGTATACATGTATATGTATAGGCAGTAGTATATATGTATGTAATATATATAGGCAGTGGTATACATGTTTTTATATATATAGGCAGTGGTATACAGGTATATATATATATGGTACACATGTATATGGGGCAAAGAAGTAATTCCAACAGTGTACACATGTATGTATATACAGGCAGTGGTTAGTATATATATAGTTGAACTTACAGGGTTAACAATATGAGAATCCCGTGAATGTATAGCGTCGGAAATGGCATGCCCAACGTCTCTTAGAGACTTAACAATAGAACTTACAGGGTTGTATACTGTACCAGCCATCCTGTGGAAATGTGTCTCCTCTTCTTCTCTCCTCACTGTCGTTATTTAGGTGAGAAATCCGCCCACTGATCCGACGTCGCGTGATCCACTGATAAATAGTCACGCGACTGACGTATACGATATTGACAAACGAGAATTACGGCTTGTATATGAAACCGATGGTTAAGTGTCTGGGATTAAAACTGTGTGTTATCATTATATATTTGTCATATGAGGGAAGAAAAAAAAGGAAAATCCAGTTTATTTCTGTCGATTTATTATGAATCGATTCTACTTAGGAAGAAGGAAATATTAGGGGCCATTGGAACGTTGAGTACGATTTGACGTTTCATTTACAATTACTCAGAATTCATACTTGGTCATCTTTCACTTACTATTGTAGAGTTATATAACAGGTTGGGTTAGCTATTCAGATAGTATAGAATAGTGTGTTGGGTGTATGTATGATAACCTAATAATAACCTCGGAACAGCTAGTCATATGAAGACGAGAATCTAAACGTTAAAGTTACATTGTAGAGGAGACAGCTTCGTGCTCGGTGTAAAATTTTGCCTGCGCATCATATCCCTTACTCAGGTGTTGTCACCACATGCTGACGCTGCACTGCCATACCTGTCCAGACCTTGTTTGTTTACACAAGTGATAAACGCTTTAGATAGCCAGCGTTTTAGACCTCCACGGACATCTAATGTCAGCAAAACTAGGGTTCAGATTGTAACTAAAGTGTAGGTTATGCCTGTGGGTCACTCACGGAGCGTGACCCTGTGGGTCACTCACGGAGCGTGACCCTGTGGGTCACTCACGGAGCGTGACCCTGTGGGTCACTTGAGGTTTCCGTATCCATCCCAGTTTGAATAGGTAGTTTGCATGTGTATCACACAGGGATCTGATAATTTGTTACAGCTATAGTTGGACCTAAACTAAGGTGTTCGGAGTACTTTTACACGTTTTACGAGTTGTTTTTTTTAGTAAAAATGACACCCCCAATGATCTCGGTTATATCTAAACCCCTAAAACATGTAAAATAACTCTGAACACCTTAGTTTAGGTCCAAATATAGCTGTATCAAATTCGCAGGTCTCTGTGGTGTATCCTGCATTATATCGGTCATGCCTTTTATCATGAATATAATCAATCTTACCGATATTATTTGTTTAAACATATTTTATTGCCAAAAAATGCAAGAGGATTGGGCACAAGTTACATGAACATTATTAACGCCCTTTCCTTATAAGATAAATAATTGTATATACACATCATAAGATGGATTTCATAGTTTAAATCACTACATTTATCTATTATTGAGAGAGAGAGAGAGAGAGAGAGAGAGAGAGAG